TCCCTTCCCATTCCACCAGGGAACCCCTTCACTGGCCCTGCCCTGCAGAGATTTTGCCTGAGTGTGCCTTTGAGTGGAGATGATGCCTCTTGCTTCTTGCATGGAGGATGGAGAGGGGTGTGGGACCCTAGGGCTAATGCTTCTGTTACTGGGAAGGCATTTCCCTCTGGGAATGACACAGGAGAAAGACTCCACAGCCCACATTCAGCAGACACGGAGCATGGGGCTCTTTGCTCTACCCATTTGCCTGCACTCTTCCTTCACTGCCAAATCCCCTCACCTCCAGGAAGATGGCTGCTGCGACTTCTGGCACCCTGGCAAAGTGCTTATTCTTCAGCGCTGAAACGATGTATGCAGCCATCCACTGCTGAAGCCCCTGAAATGTGTAACTAACAGGATCTTGTGAGCGAAAGGGAGGGCACCCCAGAAACCCCAGTAAAGAGAAGCACATTCACACGCCATGCAACGAATGAGTTCTGCTTCTTTGCCAAAATGTTTGCAGACATTTCAGCGCTTTTCCTCTGTTCCCGGGGCTTGCGGTGGGAGGAGGGTTTTTCCTCCCCACCACCAACATTCAGAACAGCATTCTGAATGTTGGCGGTGGGAAGGAAAACCCTCCTCCCACCGCAAGTCTTCAGGACAGCCATCCGAAGGCTGGCGTGGGGAGAAGGTCTCTCCGCTCCGCCAGCCTTCGGAGGAGCCTTCCGAAGGCTGGCGGCGGGAGGAGGTCTCTCCGTCCCACCGCCAGGCTTCGGAGCATTCTTCCGAAGCCTGGCGGCGGGAGGTCTCTCCTCCCCACCGCCAGGCTTCGGAGCAGCCTTCCGAAGGCTGGCGGCGGGAGGAGGTCTCTCCGCCCCACCGCCAGGCTTCGGAGCAGCCTTCCGAAGGCTGGCGGTGGGGCGGAGAGACCTCCTCCCGCCGCCAGGCTTCGGAGCAGCCTTCCGAAGCCTGGCGGTGGGGCGGAGAGACCTCCTCCCGTCGGCAGCCCTCGGAGCAGCCTTCCACCGCCAGGCTTCGGAGCATCCTTCCGAAGGCTGGTGGCGGGAGGAGGTCTCTCCGCCCCACCGCCAGCCTTCGGAGGAGGTCCGAGGACAGTGGGGAAGACGCGCTGCACTTCCCCGCTGTCCCGGAGATTTCCCTATGGGCTTTCGTCTTGCGAAGGAAGCCCATAGGGAAATTCGTTTTGCGAAGCGCCTCCAAAACAGAAAACCCTTTCGTCTAGCGGGTTTTCCGTCTTGCGAGGCGTTCGTCTTGCGGGGCACCACTGTACCATATTTTTCGTTCTATAAGACACACTTTCCCCCTCCTAAAAAGGGGAAATGTGTGCGCGTCTTATGGAGTGAATGCAGGCTGCACAGGTATCCCTCTTGCTCTCCTGGCTTCAGGGATAGCCTGAATGGGATGGCCTTATGGTCGGGTGCGTATTATAGAGCGAAAAATACAGTAAGCCCTGGTCAAAGGTGTCAGGGCACAAAAGGAGGTCCAAGGTGGCCATCTCAGTGTGTGCCTCCATAGTGCTGAGAAGCAGCTGTGCCTCTCTGAAACCAAGACAGCGGCAGAGTGAGCAGGAGGGTCATTGACACAGACGGTGGGGATCAGGACCCCTCTTTTCATGAGGAAGGTCTTCTCCTGGCAGGGAGGTGGAGATCAGCCCCAGGAAGGTGACCAGGAGTTGTGCAAATGACCTCCATGTGATAGGTGGCTATTTCTCCGTCCAGAGGAGGACATTCATGAGGCTGGCCAGACATTCCTGGAAGAGACAAGGGTGCAAGTCACTTTCTTTGTGCTCCTTGGCTCTGAACTGGGATGCTGCATGCTGGGGGGCGAGGCTGTGTGCATATGCCCCTCTGCAGCCTTCTCTTCTGAAATGAGGGCTTGTTTCTCACTGCAATCCACCTAGCACAGGGGTCTGCAACCCGCGGCTCCAGAGCCGCATGTGGCTCTTTTACACCTTTGCCGCTGCTCCAAGGCGGATACTAGCGAGGGGAGGAGGCGCATTGTGCGCCCCGTCACTCCCCACTGTGGCGGGTGCTGTACTGGCTGTGACGTCGCATGGGGGGCGGTGCGTGCGTTAGTCACGCACCATCCTGACGTCACCTTCCCGCCCGCTACATTGTAAGGGGCATGTACGCTGGTCACTGCATTGAAAGGGGACATGTACGCTGGTCACTGTTTTGAAGGGGAGTGAAGAACACACACACAAAAAAAGGTAACTTGTTAATTTAACGTTTATTTCTACGAGGAGGAGTAATTCTGAGGGGTCAAACAAAGAAGTAATAAGTGGCTCTTTTTGTCTTAAAAGTTGCAGACCCCTGACCTAGCACCTCACCCAGTGGGCCCAGGATTGGAGTCCTGCCTTCCAGTTCCTCTGCTGGAACATTCAAAGTGATAAGGAATAATTCCGGGGTGAGAGACTACTCAACAGCCCAGCTCGTTGGGGTCCAAATCCCCCGTGAGTCCATGCAGTCAGTAAAAGAAGGATGTTCCAGCCAAGTAACTTTATTGTTGCGCAACAGGTTCAAACGGCAGTAAGAACCCTGAGAATGGGGTGACATTGGCTTTTAAAACTTCCCACAACATTCCAGATTACAGCACCATTGATACATCATCTTTACATCACTGACATGTCACAAAAAGGGGAGGGGTAGATAGGGGTTACATTAGTTCAACCTTGGCAAACATGTCCAGATAAGTCCTGGGTACAAGATTAGGGTTGGCAAAACATGCCCAGGCCCCTCTCAAGTACCCACCATCAAAGGACAATCGAGCTCCCTTTGCACATCCAGAACCTGGGGCAAGTCCGGTGATGGGCTTTTGGAAACTATCTGCTCAGCAATTGTTACCTAGGTCACTTCCCTGAGGGGGTGTGTGTGTGTGTATCGTGTCCTCACGTTTGAGGGATTATGGCGGGAGGTGGGAGGGAAAAGAGTCCTTTCCTTAAGGGCAAAATGGCGTTGGAATGGAGGAATTGGTCAAACCACCGATTTTCTACAAATTTATAAAGCTAACTATCTTCCCTGAGCTGTCAAGTTGAAAGGATACATTCAGGAATAATATTTGTAGCATTCTAACAACTTTAAGTAGGGATGCAGATGGCGCTGTTGGTAAAAGCCTCAGCGCCTAGGGCTTGCCGATCGAAAGGTCGGCGGTTCGAATCCCCGCGGCGGGGTGCGCTCCCGTCGTTCGGTCCCAGCGCCTGCCAACCTAGCAGTTCGAAAGCATCCCTAAAGCGCAAGTAGATAAATAGGGACCACTTACTAGCGGGAAGGTAAACGGCGTTTCCGTGTGTGCTGCGCTGGCTCGCCAGATGCAGCTTTGTCACGCTGGCCACGTGACCCGGAAGTGTCTCCAGACAGCGCTGGTCCCCGGCCTCTTGAGTGAGATGGGCACACAACCCTAGAGTCTGTCAAGACTGGCCCATACGGGTAGGGGTACCTTTACCTTTACCTTAACAACTTTAAGTATGTGCCCCCCCCCGTCATTTCAGTAACAAAAGGGTCCTCCCTTCCTGTAAACGTCATAGAGCTCCATCTGCTAAGAAACTTATTTCTGTTTTAGTTTACTAATTCATTTAAATAGAAACACTTAAAAGTGTTTGGGAAGTACCAACAACAACATGGTTTGCCAGTCGCCCCCCACCCCCCCAGCTCCATTCCTGTTCAATTTGCAGTTTTTTCACATGGTCCTTGGCAATTCTTTCCAAGCCTTCAAAACTTTACAAGCTGCTCTGCTCAGGTGTAACATATATTGCTGAAGGCAAATGAAACATCAAAACACAGAGTAATGTAAACAATTACTTTTCCCAATATATTTACATCTATAAACAACACTTTTCAGAAGGGTAAACATGGTAACTGCAACGCTAGCAGAGTTAAGTGTGATGAAACAAACACACGTGTTTGGCATCTAAAACAGAACTGAATTAAAACTCGCCCAATGTTCCACCAATGGCCAGCTGTCAAATTCTGCAAATGCAGAAAACCGCTTCATCCCAACCGGTTAATTTGGTTTTGGACCATTATCTTTGGAGATCATTCCTGCTCATATTAGGATCCGCAGCAATGCAGCTTTTCTTCCACCCTGTTGCTGTCAGAGAAGGCCATCATAGTGCCCTGTCGATGTTGGGGCTTCCCAAATCCCGCCAGCACGGTCGGCAACCAGGGATGATGGGAATTGTAGTCTTGAAGGCATACTGGAGACCAAAGGCAGCCATTTCTCCAGAACTGTTCTGTTGATCTGTAGGACTCTGTTCTCTTCTGACCTACACTTAAAATAGCTGACGCTTTCACAGGACCACATTCTCAGCATCTTCTCCAGTTCTTTCCCCCCAGGTTATTCTTCTTCCATTTACAATGGCCTAATAAATAAAAACAAAAACATACAACAGGCTGTTTTTGATTCTCAGCGTCCTGAACATAAAATCAGCACCTTTTTTTTTACTGATTTTAAAGCTTTTTTGTATTGTACAGACCTTGTAAGTCACTTTGGGACTTTGTGGAGAAAGCAATGAAAAAATAATTGAGGGAGGGAAATCAATCAAGCATGCACCAATAAAACGCAGGACCTCAAATCATTCCAATGTAAAAAATGAATAAAAAAATCAGACCCCTATGTAAAGACTTCAAACTAGTCACTGCACAAACATTGAAATTATGAGCATATGCAAGGACCAACTTAAACAAGCCCAAGTGTGGTGTTTAGAACACTTGCATAGGTAAGGATGAAAACGTAATATTAACAGTAAGACTCGAAATATCTGCGGCTCCCATAGGTTCTTCCAACCAGGAACCACCAGCTTAGGCTTATTAACACAATTATGACGTAAAACTCTGGTGTATATGCCTCTTACAAGGCCATTAAGAGCCTCGATTTTTCACACCCCTCGTGCCATAGTACAGTCATTCCTCATGTTACGTCTGCTTCATGTTACATTCTTTCAAGTCACGTCCCGAAAGTACCGGAAAGGGTTACTTCTGGGTTTCGCCACTTGCGCATGTGCAGAAGTGCAAAATGACGTCACACGCATGTGCAGAAGCGGTGAATCGCGACCCGCACATGCGCAGGCGCGCCACTGCGGGTTGCGCTCTTTTCATGTTGCGAACGGGCCTCCGGAACAGATCCCATTTGCAACCAGAGGTACCACTGTACCGAAAACTCGCAAAAGAGCAAGGCAAAAACTGAACACAAAAGCCCTGTTGGATTGGTCCAAATGCCCAGCGAATCCATCATCCTGTTCTCCAAGTAGCCAACCAGATCCCCCAATAGGAAGCCTACCAGATTTAATACGGGTTTATGAATGAAGCAGTAAACAGGCACATGTCTCCTTCATGGTTTATCTCCTCAGTCACTGCCAGAAGACTCAGAGAAGCAGTAGGAATATGCCGGTTGCAGACCACAAGGGACCAGCTTGCGCAACCTCTCTAGATATCCCCATTGGGTTGACAGCAGGATGAACAGCAAGGCAGGTGCATTTGTAGAAAGCTGTCTAATCTCTAGGCCAGCATGGCCAATGGCCTGGAATAATGGGCACTGTAGTCCCAACACGGCTGATTCCCTTTCAGAACTGCTTATCCCAAAATAGCATTCTGTATTTCAATGCACTTTTAGGCTAAAAATAAGAGTACAGCATTATTTTCACAGTGGAGTTTATAAAGACAACACCCCACAGTGGTCTTAACGACACACACATACACATACACCAGCCCACAAAAAGGAAATACAGTGGTACCCCGCAAGACGAAAAGAATCCGTTCTGTGATTCTCTTCGTCTAGCGGTTTTTTCGTCTTGCGAAGCAAGCCCATTGACGGATTAGCGGATTAGCGCTATTAGCGGCTTATCTGCTGATCGGATCAGCTGATAAACGGCTTAGTGGCTTAGAAAAAGGAGGGGAGGGGAAAAAACCAGCAGGAACTCGCAAGACATTGTCGTCTTGCGAAGCAAGTCCATAGGAGATTCGTTTTGCGAAGCACCTCCAAAACGGAAAACTCTTTCGTCTAGCAAGTTTTCCGTCTTGCGAGGCATTCGTCTTGCGGGGCACCACTGTAGGAAAAATTAATCCTTCTCATGAATGCCTTGAGAGTCAAAACTGCTGTACATACCCACTTCAGGATTATGTGGCCATTCCAACAGCATGCAATGAACTTTCAAGTGTACTAGAATGGGAAGAACAAAATTGTATAAGAGAGTTAAGATAGCTGCTTCTCAAACTGGGAGTCCCAACGTATTCCTGGGCTGGTCACACAATGAGTGTGTCTGTCTGTGTCATTTCTCCCCCCCCCCCAATTTCTAGGGAGTTTAAAGAAAATTCATGATGAGCCCACAGCACTTCTGTCGTGGATCCTCTTGGAGCGACTTAAGTTACTGACCCCCTGCCTATTAAACTCTATTTATATAAGCAATATATGCTCTAATGCCAACACGCAAATTAAGACATGGAATATATAATATGCAATTGTCCAGTGTTAAATTTGAACGCAAGTGTTTTTTATTTTCTTTTTCAGCGAGAGGAGATAGACTAGAAAGCTTAGCTGCTTGTGCCACCAGAGCTTTTTGCTGCTGTTATTGGGGAAAGATGTTGATTTCTATGAATTGCATGTCTTTTTATAATAACTTTTTTTTTACTTAAGCTCTTAAAAATACTGCTAGGCGGCCTGTAACAGGATACAGTGGTACCTCTGGTTAAGTACTTAATTTGTTCCAGAGGTCCATTCTTAACCTGAAACTGTTCTTAACCTGAAGCACCACTTTAGCTAATGGGGCCTCCTGCTGCCACCGGAGCATGATTTTTGTTCTTATCCTGAAGCAAAGTTCTTAACCTGAAGCACTATTTCTGGGTTAGCGGAGTCTGTAACCTGAAGCGTATGTAACCTGAGGTACCACTGTACTTATAAGTTCAATAACTAATAATAGAAGGGGCTCAAGCTCAGTGGTAGACTATCTGTTTTGCATGCAAAAGGTTCCAGGTTCAATCCTTGGCATCTCCAGGTAGGGATGGTAATGACCACTGCCTGAATCCATGGGGAGCCACTGCCAGTCAGTGTAGACAGCATTAACCAGGGGTTGGCAAGGCTTACCGGGCATGGGCCAGATCACTCCCGCGGAGATCCTCCGTGGGCCAGGCTAGTGCAGTGTGATGCCAGAAATCGTGCCTGCACATGTCTGTGTCGCCGGAAATTGTGCTTGCGCAGAAGCGATTTCCGGCATCTGGGCATGTGCAGAAGAGATTTCCAGAGCCACAGAAGAGTCCGCGCGTCACACTTCTTTAGCACAGCGTGCAGGGACTCGCCAAGCGGCAGCTCATGGGCCGGTTAAGCCTTAAGTTGCCGACCCCTGGTCTTAACTCAGTATAAGGCAGCTTCCTATGTAAATTATGGACCTCACTCCTAAAGGTTTAAGCAGCACTGGATTGAACACAACTTTTTAACAATGCCACTAGCACAAAGCAACGGTTACAGTAAGCCAACACTACCCAAGCGAAGCAATGTCTCCTTCATGGTTTATCTCCTCAGTCACTGTCCAAAAACTCAGAGCAGAAGTAGGAATATGGAGGTTGCAGACTTCAGAGGGCCCGGCTTGCTCTCCAACGGTGTGGAAGGGGGCTATACATCGCAGAGCCCAAAGGCCTACGCTCCCATATGCCACATGGACAGAGCTGAGAGAGAGCAACCTCTCCAGAGATCCCCGCTGGGTTGACAGCATGAAGTGCGTCCCTTTCTAGAAGATTTCTCTAGGGCAGCAAGGGCAGCTCTCAAAATACTGGTCCCCTAACTTCCAAGGGTAAAGTCCAGGGAGCAGAACATTTTTTATTTTTTTTTGTGGCTGGAGACAATTGATGTGCTCCATAACATAAGGTTACCAGATTTTTTTTCAATGAATCCGGGGACACTTTTCAACTTCAGTCGGAATGACAGCTTGATAGGAAGTCAGCTCTACCTCTCTTTCAAATCAGAACCAGTGAAGGCAGTGAAGGTCCTGTGTGAGTGCCTGGAGGCGGTTGGAGGTTGGATGGCAGCTAACAGATTGAGGTTGAATCCTGACAAGACAGAAGTACTGTTTTTGGGGGACAGGAGGCAGGCAGGTGTGGAGGATTCCCTGGTCCTGAATGGGGTAACTGTGCCCCTGAAGGACCAGGTGTGCAGCCTGGGAGTCATTTTGGACTCGCAGCTGTCCTTGGAGGCACAGGTCAATTCTGTATCCAGGGCAGCTGTTTACCAGCTCCATTTGGTACGCAGGCTGAGACCCTATCTGCCTGCGGACTGCCTCGCCAGAGTGGTGCATGCTCTGGTTATCTCCCGCTTGGACTACTGCAATGTGCTCTACGTGGGGCTACCTTTGAAGGTGACCCGGAAACTACAACTAATCCAGAATGCAGCAGCTAGACTAGTGACTGGGAGCGGCCGCAGAGACCACATAACACCGGTCTTGAAAGACCTACATTGGCTCCCAGTAAGTTTCCGAGCACAATTCAAAGTGTTGGTGCTGACCTTTAAAGCCCTAAACGGCCTTGGTCCAGTATATCTGAAGGAGCGTCTCCACCCCCATCGTTCTACCTGGACATTGAGGTCCAGCACCGAGGGCCTTCTGGCAGTTCCCTCACTGCGAGAAGCCAAGTTACAGGGAACCAGGCAGAGGGCCTTCTCGGTAGTGGCGCCTTCCCTGTGGAACACCCTCCCACCAGATGTCAAAGAGAACAACAACTACCAGGCTTTTAGAAGACATCTGAAGGCAGCCCTGTTTCGGGAAGCTTTTAATGTTTGATGTATTATAGTATTTTAATATTCTTTTGGAAGCCGCCCAGAGTGGCTGGGGAAGCCCAGCCAGATGGGCGGCGTATAAATAATAAATTATTATTATTACTAAAATAATACATTAAAGCAACTACATTAATGGAATTGAAGAGTTACCTTTGTTCCTAACTAGTTGTATTGTTCCGAGGAGTGCACCTTGCTGAGAAGACCTCTTCTTGACTCCAGTTTTGTTGCAAATTCCTGGCAATCCATGGCAAAGTTACTTTGGACCGCTAGCATAGCTTTGACCGTGTCAATATCAAGCCTCGATCTCTGAGATGTCCACATTATGTTCATGGAAGAAAACACTCTCTCCACTGCAGCACTGCTTCCTGGTAGACAGAGGCAGAGTTGAACCAACTTTTGTAGCTGTGGATAGGGGATCATCTTCTGAGAGAAGAATGCGAAAACGTCACTCCATCTTGAACACACATCAGCGCCATCTTCATTCCATTTAGTTATCTTTTCTTTTGATACATATTCTTTCAAAGAAGAAATTTCATCAAATAAATGATCCTCACTCAGACCAACTCCTCCTACTCTTGATGAAAAATATTGGAGACACTCTTCAAAGTTTTCTCTCTGCGGAGAAGTCCTAAGCAAAATGCAATCCATACACCTAATATCTTCAGAGTGGGAGCTCCAAGCAGTTAGGTATTCAACAGCAGTAGTGTAGAAGTCTTTTGATATGGTGAGAAATTCTTCCTGCGTGCAGGAACCACCTTCTTCGAGAGATGGCAAAAGTTTCCTCACTGAGATGGGAATAAACTTGTCATCACTCCTAGCCTGAAGTTTCTGAATCAAAATGTTGAGAATCATGCAAGATTCCACAGCTGTTACTTCCTCTCCTTCGGCTTGGAGTATGGAATCATGGAAAAGAGGCATAGTCGAAGCAACAAAATTCATCCACAAATAGGTGCAAGGATCACTGAACCACTTTTTCAGCAGGGCTGGACACTTCTCCTCAGACAGAAAGAAGGATTTCAAGGCAGCATAATTTTCACAGATCCTTCTGATGGCTGGCAGCAGCGAAAGCCATCTGACATTGCTATAGCTAAGAATATTCTTGTGCTCCTGTCCTACAAACTCGCAAAACTCTTTTAGATGTTCTGCTCTCACTGTAAATATGTGGAAATAACCAAAAATCTTTACCACAAGTCCTTCAACATCAACAGGGATTGAATTTATTGCAGAATGTGCACTGTTGTGTATCATTTGAGCGTTATACCCCAAGCAGAGAATATTCTTTCCCAAACCTTCCTTCATTTTGGCGAGGACATTGTTTGAACCTTTCCTCTTCAGACCACCAAAGTTCGTGTTCGTATTGTCTGCTGAAACCGCTACCACTTTATGCTCCAAACCAAGATGCTTGATTGTTTGAAATGAAGCCGTGTAGATTATTTCAGCTGTTTCCCCTGTAATTTGAACAAAGTCCACAATTTTATTACGGATGGACACAGCTTTCTCAGCATCCACATGTACGTAGCGAACAATAATTGGTAGTAATTTTGTATTACAATGATTTGAAGCATCTAGAAGTATAGTTACAAAAGAAGCTCTATTGCTTTCTTCTACAGCTTCGGCAATCGCCCAGGGAGCAATCACGTGTTTGACAATGGCTTCAACTTTTGTTCTGGAACACATGAATTTCTTAACCAAGCTGGAAGTACAGTCCATAGACTTGAAACTGTGATAATGCCTCACGGTATGAAATGCGAAAGTTCCTTCTTGAAGGGCAATGTTTATTTCACTTTGATCTGGCACAATCGTCTTAAGGTATGCTGATAGGTTCTTTGCGTTGCTACTTTCCCGAATCAAGGAGCTTTTATGTCTTTTAGTTGCAACGTGTTCAACGACTGAGGTCCGCCCACCACTTCCAACTGTAAAAGTTACTTCACATAGTGAACAAAATGCAGAATGTTCCTTCACTCCTCTTCTGATAAATGGAAAATCCTTTAGTATCAAATCATTAACCACGCATTTTCGTTTCTTCGACGTCTTATTAGCTTCAACAACTGCAATATAAATTACAAAAAGTACACGTGGATGTGTTAAAAGGCTGCCGATACTGCCAAAAACAAACACTCCACACTGGAAAAAGCAACCGAATAAAAGAGGAAGAGGAAAACGGAAGTGAGATGTGAAAACAAGCGCGAGTTGGCAGGGAGCCAATCACATTTTGAGATAAAACTATGTGATAGCAGCTAGCCAATCACACTTCGATATACATATTGATGTGTCTTGTGCTGTTGAAACAATCACACAACAATCATTCCCTACTAATTCCAAAGAGAAGTTATCTTATAAATCTACAACACTTAAAATATAAATTCAGGGACATTAAATTAAACCCAGGGACATTTCGAGGATGGATTTTGTCAGGGGACTGATTTGTAAATCTGGGCGCTGTCCCTGGGAAACGGGGACATCTGGTAACCTTACCATAACAGAGTAAGGTTTCAATAGACTAAAGAAAAGCCTTCTCCCTTAGACATAACTGGGAAGGAGGCTGTATAAACCAGGGGTCAGAAAAACTTTTTCAGCAGGGGCAGTCCACTGTCCCTCAGACCTTGTGGGGGACCGGACTATATTTTGAAAGGGGGGGGAGATGAATGAATTCTTTTGTCCCACAAATAACCCAGAGATGCATTTTAAATAAAAGCACACATTCTACTCATGTAAAAACACACTGATTCCTGAACCATCCGTGGGCCGGATTTAGAAGGTGATTGGACCTGATCCGGCCCCTGGGCCTTAGTTTGCCTACCCATGGTGTAAACACTTTACTTTCCAAGTACATTCTAATCATAGACACACACTCAAAAGAATTATGGGCACTGTAGTTTACCCCTCATAGCTACCAGTAACTGCTAAACTACAGTGCTACAGGAAAGCATGCGCTTCAAATGTGCTTTACATGCCCCTGTGGCGACAAATTAACAAAGACCTAAAGAGATGGAATAACATGAACTTCACTCTCTCAGACAAAATAGCCATGATCAAAATGATCACACTCCCAAAACTAACCTACCTATTCCAAACCCTCCCAATCTGGATCCCCTCAACCCAACTTCGCAGTTGGCAGAGAAAACTACACTCTTTCATCTTCTCACATAAAAAACCAAGAATAAGCCCCAAATACCTGCACCTCCCCACCTCAGAAGGAGGATGGGGAATCCCCAACATAGAAGCATATTACAACGCCAACCAAATACGCCATATAATCCCATATATACTAGAAGATGAGGCAAAACAATGGCTACACCTAGAGAAGGACACAATTGAAAACACCTGCACCACAACATACCCACTCCTCCCAAACAAACTAAAGAAAATTCCCACAACACTTAACAGGTACACACAGACCATGCTCAAAGCATGGAAAACACAAATAGGCAAACTATCCCCAACCCCATCCCCACTAATCCCCCTGGCGTACCACCCATTATTCCACCATGCAGCACAAAACCTCCAGATAAAAACCTGGCGAACCAAAGGCTTATATCGCCTAATAGACTTTTATAAAAATAACAAACCCTTGTCAACACAAGAAATACAAGACAAACTAGAAGACACCCAAATGCCCTGGTTAACACAACACCAACTACATGCCCTCTTAAACAACCCAACAGTAAAATCAGCAGCAACTAGGCCCCTGACAACCTTCGAAAACCTCCTCCTAACAACAAAGGGAAACGGTAAAGGGACGGTATCCGCAATATACAAAATACTACTACAAAATCTCGCAAATCCCCTAGACGCAATCAAAAAACAATGGGAGAATGACATAGGCTATGAGATTAACCCCACTCAATGGACCAGAAGGTGGTCTAAACCCCCCTTTAAATCCATATCAACGAAAAGAAAAGAACTCACACTGAAACTCACCTACAGGTGGTACCTAACACCAAGGAAATTAGCGCTAATACACCCAGGAACCTCACCAAAATGCTGGAGAGGGTGCACCTCCACAGGCACATACCTCCACATGTGGTGGGAGTGTCCCAAAATCCAACTATTCTGGACAACAGCCATACAAGAAATATGTAAAATAACTAAGCAAGTAATAGACACCACCCCAGAATTGGCCCTACTAAACATCTTCCAAGACAACAATGCCCGTTTACACCACAAAGAACTCATAACCCACCTGCTCTCAGCAGCCAGAAATACCATAACCAGACACTGGAGAGACCTGTCAGGAGTAAGCATGGACCAATGGTACCAAATAGTATGGGAAACAGCCCTACTAGAAAAATTAACTAATAAACTGAAACTGACACGGGGACAAACAGAAGAAGACGCCTTCACCCCGGTATGGCTCCCCTTTATCACATACACAGCCCAACAGGACAATGACAATAATCCACCAAAGGCATACAAATCAATATGGCTAACCTGATCCAAAACACACACACACACCCACCTCACTCACACACGAAAACAAAGATCACCACAGCCAATCACAAGCAAACAATCACACCCTAGGCCAACCCCAAACTCTCTCACCACCAAAGGAACACAAGTGAACAACACAAGCAACGCTGACACCAAACTTTACATACATTAAACATAATAGAAACACCGCCACCCGACCCCACCCCCATCCATCTTCCCTCTCTCCCCCCCCCTTTCTCTTTTCTTTTCTTTTTTCTTCTCCCCCTAATGCCTCAACAAATGAAACGGATTTGTAAAAATGTTACATGGGGAGAAAAAAATACAAGGCACCTGCACTTCTGTAAAACAAGAAAATCCTTAATAAAATATTAAAAAAAAGAAAGAAAAAAGACAGGAGTTGGAAAAAAAATGTGCTTTACATAACTTTAAAGCACATTTGAAGCACATGCTTTCCTGTAGCACTGTAGTTTAGCGGTCACTGGCAACTAAAGTCCAAGAATAACACCTGCAGATATTCCATTTGCATAAAATCATGGTGTTCCTATCTTTGAAAGTGTTCCCAACCAGGTGCCTTTCAGTTATTGCTGGACTGCAACTCCGAATCATTCTTAGCTACTGGCCATGCTGACTGGGGCCAATAAGAGCTGTAGTTCAAAACATCTGGATTGCACCAGGTTGATGAAGGCTAGTCTGGGTAGTAATATTAAGATCAAACAAAACAAAAAAATATCCAGTACCTTGCACTTCCAAACCAGACATGTTCACCTGTGGATCAAATGCACTCTTCGGCAGCATCCAATGAGATTCTCAAAGCTTTCTGACCACAAAACAAAAGTGCACATTAGTGTATTACAACTGCCTGAAACACAGCTTCATACAGTACCATTTGCACCAAGCAATGTACAACCTAAGGTAAAGGTAAAGGGACCCCTGACCGTTAGGTTCAGTCACGGACGACTCTGGGGTTGCGGTGCTCATCTCGCTTTATCGGCCGAGGGAGTCGGCGTACAGCTTCCGGGTCATGTGGCCAGCATGACAAAGCTACTTCTGGTGAACCAGAGCAGCGCACGGAAACGCCGTTTACCTTCCCGCCAGAGTGATACCTATTTATCTACTTTGACGTGCTTTCGAACTGCTAGGTGGGCAGGAGTAGGGACCGAGCAACGGGAGCTCACCCCGTCGCAGGGATTCGAACCACCAACCTTCTGATCAGCAAGTCCTAGGCTCTGTGGTTTAACCCACAGCACCACCCGCATCCCTATGTACAACCTAAAAGGTAAAGGTACCCCTGCCCGTACGGGCCAGTCTTGACAGACTCTGTGGTTGTGCACCCATCTCACTCAAGAGGCCATGGGCCAGCGCTGTCCGGAGACACTTCCGGGTCACGTGGCCAGCGTGATATCGCTGCTCTGGCTAGTCAGAGCTGCACACGGAAACGCCGTTTACCTTCCCGCTAGAAAGCGGTCCCTATTTATCTACTTGCACCCAGGGGTGCTTTCGAACTGCTAGGTTGGCAGGCGCTGGGACCGAGCAACGGGAGCGCACCCCGCCGCGGGGATTCGAACCACCGACCTTTCGATCGGCAAGCCCTAGGCGCTGAGGCTTTTACCCACAACGCCACCCGCGTCCCAACCTAGTATCCAAGAATACACTGCACAAACATTTATGACCAAACTTGTCTTTGTTTATAAATGCTTGGTTTCAGGAAAGCTATAAAGCCTCACAAAGATTAGAGCAGGCACTCCCAACCTGCGGCCCTCCAGATGTTTTGGATTACAATTCCCATCATCCCTAACCGCTGGTCCTGTTAGCTAGGGATCATGGGAGTTGTAGGCCAAAACATCTGGAGGGCCGCAGGTTGGGGGTGCCTGGATTAGAGCAACTACTGTTAGGAAAATCTGTATTTTTGCAGATTAAATTTTGATGCTTCAGAACCCCATATAGCTTTTAAACACAATCTTGCTTGAAATGATCAAAGTTGAAAGGTTTCTCCCCACACATCAGCACCACGATATGCACATGTGTACACTGTTAAGAGATCACTAGCAAGCAGAAAAAAGCTTTTAAAATCAAACCTAGGATCATGCTAGCGTGGATGGAATGGGAAGAAGGGAGAACCACGTTCACCACCTTGAGCTCCTTTAAGGAAAGGTGAGAAACTAATTAAACAATAAAACTTTTTAGAGGGGTAAGAAAGCTCCAATTTGCCTTGCAAGTTTAACAGAACTTCACAAAGAAGACATCCATGCAAACAGGTAGGAATGAGGCTGCTCATAGCTTTCTTCCCAAGCGCAGACAAGCCAAGAGGAATCCCAGATGGAAACCAGTGAAGTGAACTGCAAGCAGAGGAAGGGTTGCTGTAGGGCGCCATTCTTCCCAGACCTCAAAAACAAATTGCCACCCATGCCAGCTGCTGTCCTCCAAAACACCCCCCCGACTTGCTGCACCTGTTGAATTTCTGCCTGCAGCCACACACTTTCAAGGCGCAGGGACTCTCCCTCTCCCAATAATTTATGTTATAGAGTTTTCCGAGGCACTAACTGCAACAACGGTGCTCCTTCCACTTTGAAATTCCAGAAACAGGCGGAATTCAACAGGGAAAGTCTCATCACTGAATGTTTCGCTGTTGCCCTTCTGCCCGTCAGAAATCTCGTAAAAACACAAGACGGAGCGCAGCCTCGCCTGGCTTTCTTAACATTTCACAAGGGTGAGCGCTGGGGAAAATATTTAAAACATTGGATCGGAGAATCAGCCTCTGACTTGGCTCTATCCTTCTTTCATTTATCAAGATATCAAAACGCTGCAATCATAAAAGCAGCTTAAATAATCACTAACAATTGTTACCTTCCCTAACTTATTGCTTCTGGCGAGATTAAACGGCCGCGCTTACCGCTCTTTAAGGCGGAAGCAGCAGCTCCACCACTTACCCTTCTTCCTGCGCGCCTAGAAATGAACGCTGGACGAGCGGGACGTGGGTATTTATATCGCGCAAGGGCTGACGGGAAAGAGCAAGCAGCCCGACTGCACGGCGCATGCGGCAAAGGTTTCCCGTCAAAGAGGAAAGCCCACAAGTTTCCTCTGTCTGGGCGGTCCTCACTTCCGGCTCTCAATCGGCTTTTTCAGCGTGCGGGCCAATGGGGAATAGTACTTTATTTTATTTTTAAATCGAAGAACAACAGCAAAAAAATGTCCTCGGCGCATAGTGATTATTTGAAAGCACTGCACTCCTGATTTCTCTCTCTTTTTTAAAATGATTCTTATTAATTTTCCAACAAAGAATAAAAACAAAACAATAAACAATACACAAACAAATAAACACATTTTGTTGCTGTTTAGTCGTTTAGTCGTGTCCGACTCTTCGTGACCCCCTGGACCAGAGCACGCCAGGCACCTCCTGTCTTCCACTACCTCCCGCAGTTTGGTCAACTCATGCTTGTCGCTTCCAGAACACTGTCCCACCATCTCGTCCTCTGTCGTCCCCTTCTCCTTTCCCAACATCAGGGTCTTTTCCAGGGAGTCTTCTCTTCTCATGAGGTGGCCAAAGTATTGGAGTCTCAGCTTCAGGATCTGTCCTTCCAGTGAGCTCTCAGGGCTGATTTCCTTCAGAATGGAGAGGTTGGATCTTCTTGCAGTCCATGGGACTCTCAAGAGTCTCCTCCAGCACCATAATTCAAAAGCATCCGTTCTTCGGCGATCAGCCTTCTTTATGGTCCAGCTCTCACCTCCATACATCACTACTGGGAAAACCATGGCTTTAACTATGCGGATCTTTGTTGGCAAGGTGATGTCTCTGCTTTTTAAGATGCTGTCTAGGTTTGTCATTGCCCTTCTCCCAAGAAGCAGGCGTCTTTTAATTTCGTGGCTGCTGTCACCATCTGCAGTGATCATGGAGCCCAAGAAAGTAAAATCTCTCACTGCCTCCATTTCTTCCCCTTCTATTTGCCAGGAGGTGATGGGACCAGTGGCCATGATCTTCGTTTTTTTTGATGTTGCGCTTCAGACCATATTTTGCGCTCTCCTCTTTCACCCTCATTAAAAGGTTCTTTAATTCCTCCTCACTTTCTGCCATCAAGGTTGTGTCATCTGCATATCTGAGGTTGTTGATATTAACACATACAAACATGTATAATTTCATAACCTCCTTTTCTTAAACCTCGTTTCGGCGACTTCCCCGTACCTCCCTGTTTCTGCATCCCAAATGTTAATTTTTTCCAGCAACTTCTCATTTCAATTATCATATTACTTACTTCTCTTATCCTTTTTCTCTTACCCCATCATTTACAGCTGTAATTCTATTTTTGTTATTGCCCTTGACATTTTAACACTCATTAATTTTATAACAGTTCTTAAGATACTCCTTAAACTTCTTCCACTCTTCTTCCACCGTCTCTCTTCTGCACTCCTGATTTCTCTCTCCCCTACCTCTTAAACCTTACTCGACAATAGCTATTTCTAGCAGTTTTGCCCTGCAAATGGCGGGTAACATCGATGGCCAATGGGAACCGAACTTTTTACAGATTCATGAAGACTGCACCTTTTAGGTATTATGCGCATGCGTAATAGCGATGGTGAGAGAGGCAGGATACAGAGGAGCAGTGATTGGTTGAACTCCAAGTGGCGCCGAGTTGAAAGAGGAGGAGATTCTAAGACAAGAGACTCCGACGCCGTTCTGCCCACAAGGGCGCCCTCTGCCGAGTGAAATGGCGAATTGCCTCTCGTGCGGAACGGAGGCCGAAAGAGGAACCCGGGTTATTCATTTTAATAAATATGTGCCCAACGACTTGTGAAAAGTATCACTTGTATTTTTGCTGCATTCTTCATATTTTAAATGAGTTAGTCTATGCAATTTAAAAAAAAACCTCACATCAGCTTAAAAAACAAACAAACATTTGACCAAAACCACATGCTTAAGATCCAGTAATAATAAACATGGCAGAAAACTGAAGTGTGTTTGGGGCAGATGCTTGGAGCTGGTGCATGGCTTGCACAGATTATCACTTGCAGCATAAGAAAAGCCCTGCTTGGCTGCCCTGTAAAGGTAAAGGCAAAGGGACCCCTGACCATTAGGTCCAGTCGTGGCCGACTCTGGGGTTGCGGCGCTCATCTCGCTTTATTGGCCGAGGGAGACAGCGTACAGCTTCCAGGTCATGTGGCCAGCAGGACTTCTGGTGAACCAGAGCAGCGCACGGAAATGCCATTTACCTTCCCGCCAGAGAAGTAGATACCTATTTATCTACTTGCACTTTGACGTGCTTTCAAACTGCTAGGTTGGCAGGAGCAGGGACCAAGCAACGGGAGCTCACCCCATCGCGGGGATTCGAACCGCTGACCTGATCAGCAAGTCCTAGGCTCTCTGGTTTTTAATCCACAGCGCCACCCGCATCCCTGTAGCCAGCCTAAAAAGTTCAGGGTGGGGACACCCAGCAAGTAGTTTGGGGCATAATATCTGTCCATATCAATGCTTTACTTTGTGTTCATTAAGGCTATGCTGGTGATAATGATAATGAAAGGTTCATTTTTCATCTGTTCTTCAGTCGTACTCTGATTCAATTGCCTCACAAAGCAGTAATGGAACTTCCAGCTGGTATACTTTACACAACCGATGCTCCTTCTTAGCGACAGGAAACTGTCTCCAAATCGCTTCCCCCTTCAAGATCCCCGGTTGATTTTCTAACTAAGCCAAATGACACTTCATCCAAGAAACAAGTGAGCAGGACGTGAGATCCTACTGCATCGGACTGCGAGAACAGTGAACAACCAGCAATGCAAGGGAACCATGGAGGGAAACGATGAGCAAGTCGTTTCGGGAAAAGGTGGGTTTTCAAAGGTGGCACAGGAGAGCTCTTCATTGGAAGAGCCTTCATCCTGGCTTCGGCCTTGGCCAAGAATTGACACTGCAGCTGAGGCTGATGGGAGTTGTCCATCAGCCAACAACTTACAAAAGGCCACACGGACCAGAGCTTTCCAAACTGTGTGTTGAGACACATTCGTGTGTTGGATGCAGTGTGTCATGTGAACGCTCCATGCGCTCCTCCTGGGGCTGGAAAGGAGTTAGTTTAACCTCCGGTTTTCTAGTAGTATAACCGAATTACTGCGTTGCAAAATGATGCATGCCTAAAAAGTGTGTCACCAACATGAAAGGTTTGGAAAGCTCTGACATGGACCTTGTGGGGCCCTTTTGCAAACTGGTGGTGAGACTCTTGTGGGCACTACACAAAGTGTTGGTGCTGACCTTTAAAGCCCTAAACAGCCACAAAGGCCCGGTATACCTGAAGGAGCGTCTCCACCCCCATCGTCCAGCCCAGACACTGAGGTCCAGCACCGAGGGCCTTCTGGCGGTTCCCTCATTGCGAGAAGCAAAGCCACAGGGAACCAGGCAGAGGGCCTTCTCGGTAGTGGCGCCCGCCCTGTGGAACGCCCTCCCATCAGATGTCAAAGCGATAAATAACTACCTGACATTCAGAAGACATCTGAAGGCAGCCCTGTTCAGGGAAGTTTTTAATGTGTGACATCTTAGTGTATTTTTGGTCTTTGTGGAGAAACCCAGCCAGATGGGCGGGGTACAAATAAATTATTAATTATTATTATTATTATTATTAGTTTTTAATGTTTGATTCTTTATCGTTTTTTAATATTCTGTTGGGAGCCACCCAGAGTGGCTGGGAAGACCTGGCCAGATGGGCAGGGTATAAGTAATAAATTGTTGTTGTTGAGAAGCTGCACACAGGTGTGCACCTGGTTTTCCACCCCTCAGCAGTGATTTTTAGGTTTGAAGAAGCCTTTTTGGCTTCTCTGCCCCCCACAAGCCTAATGTGGGGGTGACCTTCCTGGAAAATGTATCTGGGGAAGTGAGAGTTAAACCTGCCAAGCCTAATTTCCATGGCGGGGGGCGCTTGTTCCCCCCAGAGGCACGGCATTGGCAACTCATGCCCAATACAAGGGCAATAGAAAAAAGTCCTCCTTCTTGCTGTGAGGGAGTTGTCTTGCTTTTGCTCTCTTTAGGATAATGTAATAAAAAATTTAACGTCTTATATATATACAAGTTGTACAAGTGAAAATAAAGTATTTCAATTCAGCTTCAATATATGTGGACCACATGTCTGGAGCAGCACAGGAAGACCATCCTGAAACCATTTTGACTCCCAAACTGACCAAATGTTTTCTCTGCAAGGAGGGAGGGGGTGAGGGAACCTTCCCATTGTCTCAGGAATTGGGCAATCACCATCTCAAAGGAATGGGCAGACTACCAGGAAAGGCAATCAGATAAGGCATTATCACATAACCTGGCAGACAGGAAAAACAACATTCAAATTTCTGTTGTAGACCACCTTTTCCGTGATGTAGGTATGATGTTTGTGGGGGATGGTCTTGGGTTACACCCCTTCTATGATGTATGTATGATGTATGGAGGGGTGGTCTTGAGCTCCAGGGCAGGGAATTTAAAATGTCTATATAAGGGCGGACACACCTTGGTTCTGGGTCCTCCTCCTTCTTTTGCGTGTGAGGGGAGCATCCTGTTGCAACAGATCAATAAAGATCAGGCTTACTAGCTGCTTTGCTTCTCAATATTCTCTGGTTGGCCTCTGTTATTTTCTCCTACCGATAGGGAACCCACTTAAGGACTCTATATAAGGGCTCTTGGATACCCCATAAGGGAAGAAGGGCAGATTATGTTTACAACATTACAACATGTTTACAACAATAATTAGCTAGTAATTAAAATGAAACAGCCTTTTCGTGGACAGAGCTCGGTGGGTTTTGCCAAGCCCAGAAGTGGTGTCTGGTATTGGTTGCAGGGGGGCTGTCTAGGGAAGTAAAACCTACAAAGTCCAGGTGTATCATATGTGGTGGAGATAGAAGGTTGTGAAGGGTTTCTGGGAGATAATATATAATGAAATGGGGGAAATGTTTAAGAAGACTTTTATAAAAAGACCAGAAAACTTTTTTATTAGGAATATTAGGAATGGATGCCCCCACAGATCAAAAGAATCTATTTCTCTACGCAACAACGGCAACCTGGATGGTCTACGCTCAGAAATGGAGAGAGAGAGAACAATATTGACAAAGGAGGAGTGGCAGATGAAATTGACGGAATATGTAGAATTAGCAAATTTAACTGATAGAATAAGAGAACAGGAAGATGGAGTATTTAAGGAAGAGTGGGAAATGATTGCAGAATATCTGAATAATCGTGTAAATCAGGTTAAGACACCAGCAGGTTAATGTAAATTCAGCAGTACTGTATAAAGTATCAAAGATATAGGGGGAGGGGAGAAATATGAATATGAGAGGGAAATTATAAATGCAGTCCTAGTTGATAAATAAATAGAACCATGGAAGGGGGGAAGGAAAGTCAACGATTCAATGCATGGTTATAATTAATGTGTAACATTGTAATGAAAAATGATAACTAAAATTATTATTTTTTAAAGTCAGGGTGTTCTTGCCGCAGAATCCACCTCTTCCCAACCTGATAAATAAGATAGCTAACCATTAGCCAACCACCTTGAGTAATGTTTGCTCCGCAACAGATGGCCAGGCCCTCCCTCATCCCTTTGTGAAAGATTAAACGCTTTTATGACCTCCGGAAAAGGATGGGCGAATTAACTCTCCAGTAGCCGAGTGATGTCTCAAGGCAAAACCGAAAACCGAAGAGTCTTGTGACGCCTTGAAGACCAGCAAGACTTAGGAGGCATTGTTTAGTGACAAAGACATTTATATGTGTCTAAGGCTAACCATTTTCTTAGCTGAGAAGGGACATGAGAAGGGACATAGCTCAGCCTCTGTTTCGCCTGCAAATCCCCCAAACCATTCCCTGTCAGCCTCTCCAGGACGGACTGGGAGAGACCCCCGGCTGAAAAACCAGGAGATGCGCTGCCAGTCAGTGGAGACAGCATTGTGCTAGATCAGATAACTGAAGGAGCGTCTCCACCCCCATCATCCAGCGCCAAGGGCCTTCTGGTGCTTCCCTCACTGCGAGAAGTCAAGTTACAGGGAACCAGGCAGAGGGCCTTCTCGGTGGTGGCACCCGCCCTGTGGAACATCCTCCCACCAGATGTCAAAGAGATAAACAGCTACCAGACTTTTAGAAGACATCTGAAGGCATCCCTGTTTAGTGAAGCTTTTAATGTTTGATGCATTACGGTATTTTAATATTCTGTTGGAAGCTGCTTGGAGTGGCTGGGGAAATCCAGCCAAATGGGCAAGGGTATAAATAATAAATTCTTCTTCTTCTTCTTCTTCTTCTTCTTCTTCTTCTTCTTCTTCTTCTTCTTATTATTATTATTATTATTATTATTATCAGGGGTGCCCAAACTTTTTTCAAAGAGGGCCAGATTTGATAAAGTGAACATGCGTGAGGGCCAACCAAAGTTGCTAAGCTTTTTTTAGGATTTTACCCCAGGACATATACTGCCACAGGGGCTGGATTTAATTGACCGGTGGGCTGGATTAGGCCCCCAAAACGGACTTTGGACATGCCTGTGCTAGAGGGACCAATGGCGTGACTCCGTAGAAGGTATAGTCCGGTGCTGTGATGGCTGTGACAGTTGGGATTGGCAGAGAGGCCAGGCAGAAGTTGAAGCCAGTGCCAACAACCGGAAAAACCAACTTACTCTCTCTCTTTTTAATTTATTTATAGATTTTTCACAAAAAAAGACGAACTTTACAAAGTTCAACAGACCGCAAATTACTTTATCCATTGGCTTCCCATCCCTGCTTCCATGGTTTCCATATTTACCCCTGAATGCTGCATATTTCACATACAGTCATACCTCGGGTTACAGATGCTTCAGGTTGCGTTATTTCGGGTTGCGGACCACCGAAACCCGGAAGGACTGGAACGGGTTACTTCCAGGTTTCGGTGGTCGCGCATGCACAGAAGCACTAAATCGCACTTTGCGCATGCGCAGAAACGCTGAATCGCAACCCGCGTGTGCGCAGGCGCATCACTGCGGGTTGCGGACGCTGCGGGTTGTGAATGTGCCTCCCGCACAGATCCCGTTCCCAACCTGACCGTCCACTGTATACTATTTGACACATCCATTTTGACCTATTTAAGCCTGTCGCTCATATTTCAAGCCCTGCTCGCGTTTTCATGTTGCTGTGGTAGTTCTTTAAATGCTCAATAAAAGGTCTCCAGTCCTTGATGGATTTCCCGTCGTTTTGGTCTCCAATCTTGCCGGTTCCGTTCTGTTACGGAAAAATCTGGGTGCGGGGTTACTCTGCCACCCAGCTCGTCGGACTAAGTCCGCGGGTCCCTGCGGAAGAAAATGAGCTCAGCCGGAGACAGGAGCAAACTGCAGAAGATCCAAGTTTATTGCGCAACAGGTTCAAGGCGAGATTGAACAGCGAGAAAGGGGTGACATGAACTTTTGAAACTTCCCTCCATGTCCCAGAATACAGTGCAAAATACATCCCAGTTACATCATGAATACATTAAGGAGAGGTTGGGTTACACCGGATTAACATATGGAGGGGGGAGGAGGGAATATGCAGAGCTGGAGTTATGCGCAGATAAGCACTTCCTGAGTACCGGTGATGAGAAGTCAATGGTCCATGTATGCATATTCTGTCACCTGGCATTGCCCGGAGGAAAGGCTTGGCAGAGTGATTTGACAAGATTAGGGTCTTGACACCTTACTTGAGGGATTATGGAGGACAGGGGAGATGTCATGGAGTCCTAGAGAAATTGAGCAAATTGGCACGTTGATTTTCTATGAATTTTATAGATTTTAGTCCCTTTTGACATTGACAATTGGAAATAAATGGATATATTGTAGCGAAGAAGAAGGTGAAGAAGACATCCCCCCCCTTCCGTATCAGTACACTCCATGCTTTTCAAAAGCTGTTCTTCCTTTCCTGGAACCTCTCCTTCTTTCCCTCTTTGGGCGTAGTGCTCAGGCTGCTGCTGTTATATACAAAAACCAACTCATTCTACTTTTGCCCCTGTCTTCCTCTCTGCCGAGTTTTACAGGGGCAATACTGAGATTACAAAAGAGGAAGCCGACAGGGAAGGCTAGTTGAAAATAAGAAAGCCGGTGTATACCCATTTGTGGAAGCCGTTGGCTGATAACAGGCCGAGATGGGTAGGGCAGGGACCCCTTTGTCCTACGTGACCACAGTCCTGATGAAATCAGTGTGGAAAACTGCACAGTCCTTGTACCTGAGTCGGGAAGTGGAACGGTTCCGGTATGAGCCAACCTGGGAGGGGCAACATCTTGGCACATCCCTTTCCTCTGCCTCTATATAAACCAACCCAAGTCCACGACTCAGCTGCTGTTGATCTCAGCTATGGCTTCCTCCGGAATCACTATCTGCCTGGAGAAGGATGATGCCAAGGCAGTTGCCCGAGTCCTCCCCTACGGGGGGCAGGACTATGGGGAGCTGAAGCGCCGGTGTCTCCAGCAGGGATCGCTCTTCGTCGACCCTGACTTCAAACCCAGCCCCGAGTCGCTTGGATACAATAAGCTGGGACCTGGCTCCAAGAAAGCCCAGGGGGTGGTTTGGCAGAGGCCAAAGGTGAGTCAAAACAAAGACATTCTCCTTTTACATCCAGTTCACTGATTATCAGTAGTTCGCGAAAGAAGCAAGCAGTGTACAACAGTCAGTCTGTTGAGTGTTTTGGGGATGCTGGCATCTTGGGAGGGGGGAGGGAGTAATATAGGTGTTATACATTTTTTGGGGGACACCCCTAAAGACTAGAAATTAATAAATGGTATGATTTTGTTGATTTGGGATGTGAAAGGAGAAATAGAAGCTGCAGAGGAATTCCTGGGCTGAGCAGCTGAGCAAAACTGCTCAGCTTGCAGACTTAACATGCAGAATAAGAGAACAAGAAGCACATACGTTTAGAGAAGACTGGAAAACGTTTATTGAATATATGGGAAATAATTGTGTAGCTGAAAATGTTGGCAGCATTAAGATAAATTCAACAGTGTAAATAAGTTTTGATGGGTGTAATAATGGAATATTGAATGGTATAGCTTTTGTAAAATATGCAGGGATTTATGATATATAAAATGAACCATGGAAAGAGAAGAAGGGAAGTCATTGATATTTTAAGGATGTAAAACTGAGTATTTTAAATTGTAAAATTTAATAAAAATTACATACAAAAAAATAAGGGAATTCCTGTGCTAGCTTAATCAAAATGACCCAGCCAAGCTAGGGCCATTAAGAAACACAGAGGTGTGAACAGAGGCAGGGGTTTGGAAAGTTGTCAGGGTAACTGTGTGTTTGAGGCAACAGGAAAAGAGAGTCTGGCAGCAAGGAGTGCTGGGGGAAGAAGGGGGGAAGAAAGACTGGTATCCATCTTGGGCAGGTTGGCTGCAGAGCTGATGGAGAGAGGTACCTTGGACCGTGCTGTAAGATCTGGACTCCCTCCATGCAGACTGAAGGTGTAAATCAGTGAATAAACCACATTTCTTAAAGCTACGACAGTTTCTGCTATGTCTCAATTCTAGAAAGGAACATATAGACCCCATGGGGTCTTGCCACCGCTTGGCAGAGAGGAGGGGAGGCACCTAATAATAATAAGAAGAAGAATAATAAGAAGAATAATAAGAATAATAATTTATTTGTACCCCGCCCATCTGGCTGGGTTTCTCCACAAAGACCAAAAATACACTAAGATGTCACACATTAAAATCTTTCCTGAACAGGGCTGCCTTCAGATGTCTTCTAAATGTCAGGTAGTTGTTTATTTCCTTGACATCTGATGGGAGGGTGTTCCACAGGGCGGGCGCCACCACCAAGAAGGCCCTCTGCCTGGTTCCCTGTAGCTTTGCTTCTTGCAGGGAGGGAACCACCAGAAGGCCCTCGGCGCTGGACCCAACTTTTCTCACATGTGGAAAGCCAGGTTTACACCTCCAGCTCACCTGGTGGGCTAGGGATTTCTTAGAATGAAAGCCCTGAGTGCATTCCAAGCCAAGGAACTGTCTCTCAGGTACCAGAACCGGACACAGTCCCTGCACACAAAAGCCCATTCCTCCTGGTTACGCCAAGGTTTGTTTGTTTCAGCAGCCTGTTATTGCAGAAGTAGGTAATGGAAACAACTTTTCCGTGTTGTCTTTACAGGACATCTGCAAGCCCCAAGTGCCTCGCTTCATCTGTGAAGGAATGAACCGTACAGACGTCCGCCAGGGGAAACTGGGTAATGTGTCAATTGCTTGCTTTCTCTGTAGCATTGCCTTGCTGTTAAGTTTTCCGCCCTGCTTTCTGGCCTGACTTTTGCGCCTTCGACAGCGGAAACTGTCACCTGTATCACTGCAACTTTGTGAGGTGGGGAGAGAGCATCAACTTTTGCATTTCTGATGCCGATTTAGAGAATTAAACAGCAGAGCGTCTCTCCTAGGAAAAGACTCAGCCACACACCACTTATCTGGCAATCACTCATAGCCGAGTAAGATTGTCTTCCATAAACAAGGTTTTAACAATGAGTTTGTAGGTGACTGTGGAGGCCAATTCTGGATCCACATGTCCTTCCACAGTGGGGACATTATATTTCATTAGAGCAGGGATAGACAAACTAAGGCCCGGGGGCCAGATCCGACCCAATCGCCTTCTAAATCCGGCCCTCGGACGGTCCAGGAATCAGCCTTTTTACATGAGTAGAATGTGTGCTTTTATTTCAAATGCATCTCTGGGTTATTTGTGGGGCATAGGAATTTGTTCATTATTTTTTTCAAAATATAGTTTGCCCCCCAAGGTCTGAGGGACAATGGACAGGCCCCCTGCTGAAAAAGTTTGCTGACCCCTGCATTAGAGGTTTGTTGATATAAAAAGGTAAAGGGACCCCTGACCATTAGGTCCAGTTGTGACCAACTCTGGGATTGCGGCGCTCATCTGGCTTTATTGGCTGAGGGAGCCTGCGTACAGCTTCTGGGTCATGTGGCCAGCATGACTAAGCCGCTTCTGGCGAACCAGAGCAGCACACGGAAATGCCGTTTACCTTTCTGCCGGAGTGGTACCTATTTATCTACTTGCACTTTGACGTGCTTTCAAACTGCTAGGTTGCCAGGAGCAGGGACCAAGCAACGGGAGCTCACCCCGTCGTGGGGATTCGAACCACCGACCTTCTGATCGGCAAGTCCTAGGCTCTGTGGTTTAACCCACAGCGCCATAGTCATTCATTAATTTTGAGTTGCCACCCTTTTCTGTTGGTGCTGCCCCTGTGCCTTCGGTGGCAGCCTGGCATACCGAAATTTAGAATGAGCATGATTACATCCTGTGATCCTCTTCATTATAGTAAAACTCACATGAGTAAAGCTGTCTTTCTACTTGCTAAATTTGTGCATGCCAAGAATGGTTAAAAAAAGGCAAGTTTAATTTGCTGCCTGATGTTACATCTTTACCACAAATGTAAACTAGCTAAACGGAAGTAAACCAGCTTAATGGATGTGGCATCCCTCAGGGAACCCTGGGATTTGTAGTTCCAGGACAGGGCTAGCAGTCCTTGCAAGTATCGTCCTCACAAAACCATCATTTCTACAATGCCTTTGGAGGAGGAAAGCCGTTATCAATTAACATTTAACAACTAGTTTATGTCTGGGGTGTAGAAAGCAGCTTCGCTGTACAAACATGGGAAGGTTTCAAAACTCTTTGTTCCTTATCAATCCTACAACTAGTGATAACCCAAATTATTACAGAGCTGCTATTTGTTTGCTTCCTGCTGCTGTGACTTTTACAGCAGTCCGACAGTCAGGAATTCAGTAGGTGAAGCTTTCTCTAGCGTCGTCGTGATGACAAATCCTTCATCACGTGCTTTGTGTATCTAGTTGCTGTTAAACACACAACAAAAATGGTGACCAATTGGTATTATTTTCCATGCTGTGTATAATCCACAAAAATTTCTACACCAAGAAGCCCCACATTATGTTGAACAGAATCCATAAAATCAAATAATTCACATTAGGAATGGACAAATCTTTCCATTGTGGCTTCTCTCTGTTTTGCATTTTTATCATCTTAAATTCAGTTTGCCACATTTCTGCATGGGCTAGTGATTTATTTATTTAGGAAATTCCTCGCAAAAAAAATTGCCACAATTTTAGTGTTCATTTCTCCTACTGTAGATTTTTATATGAAATTTTGCCCAGTATACACGTTTTTGCAAGCCATTTCCCCCTCCTGATGCAATTCATTTTTGTGCACACTTTCCATTCTCGCAAAATTCAGAGAACTACGAATTCTGAAGGTATTTGGGGTCATGGGAATGATGCACATTAAACCAAATTTCTCTTCTGTTCCCAATTCAGATAAGCAGTTGAATTCCTCTCTTGTAGAGAAAACAGGCAGGTGTGCCCAGGGCTACACACACACACCCCATAAATTTAAAGCACATGGCTTCCCCAAAGAATCCTGGGAACTGTAGTTCTGTGAGGGGCTGAGCTGCAGTTTCCAGAATTCTTCGCAGGGGGAGTCATATATACATCGTACTCGATGTACAAACTTGCCCTGATCTCCGTGTCATCCTCATTAAATTATTATTTTTTTATTTTATAATCATATTTATTAAATTTTCCAATAATAACAGAGTAGAAAAGATAGAAAAGATAAAGAAAAGAAAGGAAAAAAAAAAGACCAATTTTAAACCCTTATTTTCATAACCTTCTTTCTGGGACTCCCTCCTTCCCCTCCCGACTGTATTCCCCTTTCCCTACGTTGGTTCCACAAGTTCTCATTCCCAATTTAAACCTAATATGTTGTGCCTAATAGCCAATTTAAATTACAATCTTAACATCACTCCTCATCTTTAACAAAATAGAACAAAGATTTTTCCCCCAAAATCTACCCCGTTTCCTTCCACGAATTCCCCCTTTTTCCCCGAAACATGTTAAATCAAAATACCAAAGTTATATAAAAAGATAAAAGATAGAAGATAGAAGAAGATTCCAAAAGTTGGTTACATAGCCTTTGGATTCTAGAATTCCCCCTCCCTTCCCCGGTTTGGATTCCCCATGTCCATCAGTCTGTATGTTGTCAGCCTGGAGGTCTCAAGTCCACAGCCAAATTTTTCTCAATCCATCTTGCCGGTTTTCTTTAAATTTGCTTGTTTTAATAATGTTTAGTTTCAAAAATCCAGTCTAATCGAGGCCTTTAATTTCCCTTGGTCATTGTTGCTCCTCCCATTGTTCTTTCCGTGGCGTAGTTGGTCCTTTACTCTTTTGTTTCTTACTTTCTCAGGTTTCTGTCTTGTTCAGCTGCAAAACCATTCTTATTCTGAAATCTAGTATCTCTACAGAGGTTTGTTATTCAGGAACAAAAACTTACGTCCAGTTCCTAGCTTACTTCAATAGAAAGATTCTATTGTGTTGTCACCTCTGTAGACAAAACAATATTTCAGTTTTGCTACTTTCCCAGGAGTTAAGACCAGTACACATCCCAGAGTAGTTTTCCACATACGCCACTTGTAATGTCCCAAAGCCCCTCTAGGGGGGTTGCAATAACTTTGTGTCCTCTCATCCAAAAGTCAAGTTGTTGTTTCTTTTCCCCCCCGACATTTTGTATCCATATTTATATCCAATTGTATCAAAATTAACCAGCACAATACTTGTAACAAAGTCCTCTTTGTATTCTCAAGATTTGACAGCTACTTTGACAGCTGTCAAACTCTCCATCTCTCTCCGCCAGGTTCTCCGAATCGCCCCGGTTCCCAGGGGGGGGTTGCCTTTTCCCTCTCACCCTCGACTTTTCTCCTCCAGCACAATTCTTGTAATAATCCCATCGTGGAATTTGATATTTTTTGTCAGCAATAAACTTCTGAATTGATCTTGGTTTCTCAGTCCTTGTTTTAGCATGTTTACAATCAGGGAGGGGACTGACTTCCTTTTTAGATCCCCCCCGCTCGTGCCGAATCCGGAAAAAAAATTCCTTTTTTTTCTCCTTTTGTACCCGGTTACCCAATTACTCACGGGTTGTTGTTAAATGTCCGAATTTCAAATGGAAGAAGCCAGCGCTCTCTGACGAATGGCATGCGGCTGCGCTCGGCAGGGGAAGCGATAGACTCACAGTACCACGCCGCTCCCCGGCACCCGATCCGTAGCCTTTAAAAAGGCTCCTTCACGAGTCGGGAGGGCGCTGACGGTACCAGCCGAGTCCCCATGTCCACGGGCTCCATGCCCGTGGTTTTTGAGGGTCCCCGCGTCGCCGGCGCGGTAGGACCCAGCCCCTGCCGAGCAGACTCCCTCCGGAGCTCGGAGGGAGTCCGCCATTCGGCGATGGCGCCAACCCGGAAGTCCCATCCTCATTAAATTAAGCTGGTGTGGATGCCGCCTTCTATAGAATCCTAAGAAGTTGTGCATCTATTTTCTGGAGCATTTGGTCTTTCAAACAGTGTAGAAATAAATAAATAGCAACCATCTTCTTTCTACCCCTGACAGGCGACTGCTGGTTCCTGGCAGCAGCGGCATCCCTCACATTGTACCCACATCTCCTGCACAGGGTGGTCCCACAGAGTCAAAGTTTTGAGACTGCAGACTATGCTGGCATCTTCCACTTCCAGGTGACTTTTATTACATCCCCTCCAGGAGGTCCAGTCAGGTCCCTGGTCAAAGCTTCTTCCCATCACTGCTACCCTTGTACTTTGCTGGGTGAAAATGAAGCCATTTCCTAGCACGAAGGTGCAGGGATTGCAGAATTTACAGCGTCAGAATGGAATCCTGGAGGCTTTCGAATGTAACCAGCTGCCGTGGCCCTCCAGGTTTCATTCGACTCCAATACCCATCATCCTTTTTTAAAAAAATAATTAATTAATTTTTATTAGTTTTTGAACTTTAACAAATGCACCCAAATTATTTAAATTATTTAAATTTAATAATTAGGTTTCCCACTCCCGTTGCAAGCATAGGTAAAGGTAAAGGGACCCCTGACCATTAGGTCCAGTCGTGACTGACTCTGGGGTTGCAGCGCTCATCTCGCTTTATTGGCCGAGGGAGCCAGTGTACAGCTTCCGGGTCATGTGGCGAACCAGAGCAGCGCACGGAAATGCCGTTTAGCTTCCCACCAGAGTGGTACCTATTTATCTACTTGCACTGGCGTGATTTTGAACTGCTAGGTGGGCAGGAGCAGGGACTGAGCAACGGGAGCTCACCCCGTCGTGGGGATTCGAACCACGACCTTCTGATTGGCAAGTCCTAGGCTCTGTGGTTTAACCCACAGCGCCACCCGTGTCCCTTCATTGCAAGTCCATTAAATTCCTGGTGTTACTGCTTCATTCTTCTTCTTTTATCACCCTCTCAACCTTCTACTAGTTTTAATCCATTTTCATAGCCAGCTGATTTTGTTACCTTGCAATCAGCACCATTGTTATTGCAACAACCATCATCCTTGACCATTGGCTATGCTGACTGTGGCTGATGGGAGTTGTTGTCCAACAGCATCTGGAGGGCAGGCAAAGAACAGAGGTTCTCCTAATCAAAAGCATCTCATTCTCATTCATTTCCCTCCCACCCAACCGCTTCCTAGTTCTGGCAGTATGGGCAGTGGGTAGATGTCGTGTTGGATGATTTTCTGCCCACTGTGAATGGAAAGTTGATTTTCGTGCACTCAGAGGAGAAGGATGAGTTCTGGATGCCTTTGTTGGAGAAAGCCTACGCCAAGTGAGTGGAACACCAGTTATTTAATTCACTGTTTAATTTGGGCGTTGTCGGGAGCCGGAGTCAAGCATAGGCCAGCAATAAAGTCAACTATTGATTCAAGAAACTAAGACAGCGCAGGCCTGGTGACCCCAGCAGCTCAGTAGCTTTTGCCCAAATGCGGCAGCTGTAAGGATAAAAGGTCCCTGCCTTCCCACAGCTGCCTAAGAACCCTCCCCTGCAGGGCTTTTATCAAGCAGTTGCAGACTGCGTCTGTGCACAACCAATCTCTGCTCTTCCTTTTTCATTTCTCTGTGTGTTCCAAGAGACGGGGCGGGGGGGAAGGGAGCTGGTCGCAGCAGAAGGGGGAGACTCCCTGGATACTTCAGCTCATAGCTGTCAACCGTCCCTTATTTGGCGGGACAGTCTCTTATCCCAGCGCCGTTTCCTGCTGCTGTCCCTTATTGATGATGACCCTTAAATTTCCCGGGTTTCAAAGGAAGCAGCTCCTCTCCCTCCCTCCCTGCCGGCCAGGGAGGAGGTAGGCTCCAACTGTGTTGCTTGGCTGCGTTGCTCACCCAATAAGGAGTCTAAGAACGACTGGGGGGTGGAGCTTGCATGCCTTGTGCCAATCAAATCGGCCGCGTTGCCTGGGGACTCGCCTTTGCTCAGCGCTTCCCAGCGGAGAGGTGACGGTGGTTTTCCTTGCTGCATCCCCTTTGCCGGGTTGCTGCGCTGTGGGAACCACCGCTTGAGGCTTCATTTGGCTGCTGGCTGGGCTTTCTGCCTTTGGCTCGGAGGGGCTCAGAAGTTGAACATACCTGTGTTCGGAAAACCCCTTATTTTGGCTGCTGATCCCTTATTTTCGAGGCTGCTGGTCCCTTATTTTCAAATCTGTAAGTTGACAGCTATGCTTCAGCTGCCTCTTGGCACCCCTCCTCTCCAGCCTCTGCTTCTGCCTCTGATTCTGGACAGCTCTCTGCCCCAGACTCTCCCCGCTCACTAAGCCCTGTCTCTTCAGCTTCCGACACCTCCTCCTCCCAGTCTTCTCCCTCTTCTCCATCTGACCACTCATTGTCATCCCACCACCAATCCCCGGGCTCTGAGTCTTCTTCCCTTAGGGGTTCCCCAGCTGGTGCCTTCCACCACTCCTCTGCATTTGGCCAGTCCATGACAGTTGAGGCCTTCCAGCTGTTGTCGGACTACAGTTCCCATTACCCCTCTGCATTGGCCACACTGCCTGGGCTGATGGGGCCTGGAGTCCAACAACATCCGGCGGAGCAGCAATGAGGGTCCTCCAGGTGTTGGCAAGCCCCCTTTCTCACCAGCCTTTGACAGCAGAGTCATAACTCTCTACAGCTGATGAGAGTTGTAGTCAAGCAATACCCAGAGGTCCACAGGTTCCCCAGCTTTAACTAGACTAGGGCTGGGCAATATCTGGTTTTCAACTTCGTGATATATGGCCGGCTAAACACGGTGATATACCCAGGCCTGGATTTAGGTCTGATGAGGCCCTAAGCTACTGAAGGTAATGGGGCCCTTTATATGTCCAGCTGTCCTTTGTCAACAACAAATTGCCGCTGTTTTTTTGTGTTCAATATATGCTATATGGTAATTTATGGACCTACTAGGTCCATACACAACACAAAACACTGTTGCTGTATGTAGGTGTTATTTTATCTTGTATTTTGGAAATGTACATCCAGGTGTGTGTTTTTTCTTTAGTTTTTTTGGGGGGGCCCCAAGAGAGTGGAGTCCTAAGCTATAGCTCGGTATATCATATACCGATATATCACAATGTCTGAAATAAGGATGGAGCTATGTAGAGGCATTGGCTGGCTTCACAGTTTCCCCTGCATTGTGATTTTTGCATAGCAAACACACACACACACACACACACACACGATTCTCAATATATGGCCCAGGCAAAATTTTTGAAACCAATCTCACAATATGGAATTCAAACCGGTTTTGGACGACATATCAACATATCACCCAGCTTTAAGCTAGACCCTCATCTAACCAACTTTAAAAATCTAAATACAGTCATACCTCGGGTTAAAGTTGCTTCAGGTTGAACATTTTCAGGTTGCATCCCGCGGCGACCCAGAAGTAACAGAACGGGTTACTTCCGGGTTTCGCCGCTCGCGCATGCGCAGACACGCAAAATGACGTCGCGCGCATGCGCAGACGCGGCAAATTGCGACCTGCGTTCTGCTCATGCTGCGAATGGGGCACCGGAACGGATCCTATTTGCATCCAGAGGTACCACTGTGCAAAGAGTTGTCATTCCATAGTCTCCAACTGTCCTGAAAATGTTGGGTCCGTTGCAAAACCCTTAAGCCACTGCAGCTTCTCAGTATGCAACACTGAAAGCAGGGAACGGCAGGAGCAGGGAGAGAGGAGACAGTGACCCAGCCTCCCATGGTGGCGCAGTGGGACCTGTGGGGAGGGGAAGAGAGGGGTCCGGGTGCCAACCTCTGCTGCCTCCCCAGCTCTGCCAGACGGTACCACTCAACGCATCCACTCAATGGTGATGGCGGCAGCAGGAGCGGCCTGGGGGGGGCCTGCCTTGCAATGGTGCACAGGGGCCTTTTGGAGGTCACATCTGCCAACCATAGAGACTACGCTGCTGGCACAGAAGGGCTGCCTTGTAAACATCTGGCGCAGGTGCCTCCTCTGGCACCCAGGGCGGGTTGACGGAAGCCTCACAATTTTACCAAGGCGTTTTGCCGGCACTGTATTGTTACACACTCCTCTTGGTAACAGCTGTTGGGGCAACTCTGCCAGCCCCACCCTTTCCCCATATTCCATGGGCAGTGTGCCTATATATGGGGCATGGGGTTGGGGGGCACACACCCACACCGAAGTAGAACAGAACGCCCCCATTTTCATCTGGGGAATGTTGGAGGTTGTCTCAGGACCGTAAAACGTGTGGCATTGAGTAGATCGCTGCCTTGGATGTACAGAGAAGACAATTGCATAAGGTCCATCTTTTTCTTAAGAGAAAAATGGTCTGATTTAGTGCAAGGCAGATTCCTGTGTTCATTCTTCTGCTCTTCGATCTGTTTCGGTATTTTCACTCTACTCCCGCCTTTTCCTTCCTGCAAAGGCTGAATGGCTCCTACGAGGGTATAAGTCTGGGAATGATGAATGAAGCCTTTGTGGACTTCACTGGCGGAGTTGGGACCATCTTTCTGCTGAAAACACCTAACCCAGAGCTCTTCAAGATCATTCGAGAGGCGCTGAAGAGGCGCGCTATGATGGGAGCAAGCACTATGGTAGGTGCGGGGGGGGGCCCACTCCCTTTGACGGGTTGCAGTGCTTCGTGTCATCGGCACACCCAGCTCCCCAAATCCCTGGCAATATCTTTTCAGCGGCTTCAGTGGCGAAACCAAGCTGTGGGTCAGCTCCCAGGTGCTGAGACCCCCAAGCCTCTATTGAGCCAGACCCAGAACCCGATGCTAGCTCTCAGTCTTGATTGATGAAAATTAAGGTCCCAAAACACCAGGAGTGGGGACTGAAAGTTTTAAATACAGTCATACCTTGGTTTCCAAACAGCTTAGTTCTTGAATGTTTTGGCTCCCGAACGCCGCAAACCCGGAAGTGAGTGTTTTGGTTTGTGAACTATTTTTGGAAACCGAATGTCCGATGGGGCTTCCATGGCTTCCGATTGGCTGCAGGAGCTTCCTTAGATCCAAGCAGGCATAAAATTTTGCTCTCTATTGCCACACTCCCTCGTGGTTTCCTTCTAAGTCACATCTCTCCTAACCTCTCTGCTCTAACCTCTGGCTTTATCTGTTGAGGGAGGGCCCCCAGTCCTTTAATCCTTTGTTCTCGTAATGGCCTGTCACCCTGGAGTCTAGCCTGGCGCAATTAACTTTTAACACTTGCTGAATCCAAGAGTTTGAAGCACTCTAGCACTCAGCTGAACACCCCAAGCCTTCATTAACTGTTACTGGATCCAGGAGTCTGGCATATGTTTACCAGATTTTTTTTCAATGAATCTGGGGAAACCCCCCCTTTTTTTTTTTAATCTGAGTAGCAACAGGAAGTCAGTGGTGGGGATGGTGAGGTAAAAGACCCTGCATATTGTATAAAGGTGCAAAGCTCTTCTTTCACACCCTGTGAAACATAAATGGGCAGTTTTTTAAAAAACTGGGCAATGGCGCGCTGCCCACCTGTGACTCCCAAGCCTTCCCGATCTCCTGCCCCCTTCCCCCTTTGTTTTCACAAATCGGGGGAGGCTTGGGAGTTGTGGGCGGCCGGCCGGGCAGCCGTTGCCCAGGAAGGGCACAGGGTACACGGTTTCTCTGCCAGGCAAGCTGCAAAGCTCTTCCTCTGCACCCTGTGAAACGTAAATGTGCAGAGTTTTAAAAAAACTGGGCAACTGCCGCTCGCCCACATCTCCTGAGCCTCCCCTATCAGTCAAAAAAAGGGGGGCAGGAGATCTGTACCGCCGGACATCCCCGGTTCCCCTTCGGCAGTGGCGGTGGCAGCGGCAGTCAGCAGCTCAGAGCCAGCCAGAGCCAACTGCGCTACCAGGCTGGCTTCGGGCTGTTGAGGCTGCTGCTGCCATGTTTCCCAGGGACAGATTTGCAAATCCGGGGACTGTCCCCAGGAATGTCTGGTAACCCTAGTCTGGCACCCACAAACTCGTAACTTTAGGGAGAGACCTGCTGGATCAGGCCAAAGGGGATCTAGTCCAGCATCCTATTCTCACAGTGACATACTAGATGCTTGTGGGAAACTTTCAAGCAGGGACCCGAGTGCCTGAACCTTTTCCTCACTTGTGAATCTCACCAACTGGTATTCAGAGACATATTCAAGGCTATTGACAAATTGGGGCGGGGGGAGGAATTAGTCACCCAATTGTTCTGGGTGATGGTTGTGGGTCTGACCGTGTTGTCCATCCTGATTTTCTTCAGGCTAGTGGTCCTGAGGAGACTGAACACGAAACCCCAGAGAAACTGCTGAAAGGGCACGCCTATTCCATCACCGGATTCCGCAAGGTATGTCTTGGGAGATTCCAGATCAGCCTCTTCCAGGGGCATTGCAAGGCTAAAGGCTGAGATATTTTGTACCAGTGTGGATAGCCTCCCTCCTTTCTCTTTTTCTCTTTTCCCGCTGTTGTTGTTGTTGTTATTAAAAGAGCTTTTCTTACAGGGCAGCTTTTCCTTTGATAATTGGCCTAAATGTATATCTATCTATCTATCTATCTAATCTATCTCTGCCAACCTAGCAGTTCGAAAGCACGCCAGTGCAAGTAGATAAATATGTACCGCACCGGCGGGAAGGTAAACGGTGTTTCCGTGTGCTGCTCTGGTCCGCCAGAAGCAGCTTAGTCATGCTGGCCACATGACCCAGAAGCTGTGAGATGAGCGCTGCAACCCCAGAGTCAGTCACGACTGGACCTAATGGTCAGGGGTCCCTTTACCTTTATCTATCTATCTATCTATCTATCTATCTATCTATCTATCTATCATCTATCTATCTATCATCTAGATATAAATTTAGGCCAGTTATCAAAGGAAAAGCTGCCCTGTAAGAAAAGCTCTTCTAATAATTACAATTTCAACCACAACAACGGGAAAGGAGGGAAGCAATCTACACTGGTACAAAATATCTCAGCCTTTAGGGACGCGGGTGGCGCTGTGGGTTAAACCACAGAGCCTAGGACTTGCTGATCAGAAGGTCGGCGGTTCGAATCCCCGCAACGGGGTGAGCTCCCGTTGCTTGGTCCCTGCTCCTGCCAACCTAGCAGTTCGAAAGCACTTCAAGTGCAAGTAGATGAATAGGTACCACTCCGGCGGGAAGGTAAACGGCGTTTCCGTGCGCTGCTCTGGTTCGCCAGAAGCGGCTTAGTCATGCTGGCCACATGACCCGGAAGCTGTACACCGGCTCCCTCGGCCAATAAAGCGAGATGAGCGCCGCAACCCCAGAGTCGGTCATGACTGGACCTAATGGTCAGGCGTCCCTTTACCTTTATCTATCTATCATCTATCTATCTATCTATCTATCTATCTATCTATCTATCTATCATCTATCATCTATCTATCTATCTATCATCTATCATCTATCATCTATCTATCTATCATCTATCTATCTATCTATCTATCATCTATCTATCTATCATCTATCTATCTATCTATCTATCATCTATCTATCTATCTATCTATCCATCTATCATCTATCTAAATTGGCATGGGCCAATGGAAAGCCAGTGTGGCAAAGTGGTTAGAGTACCTGACTAGGGTCCGGAAGACCTGGGTTCAAGTCTCTACCCAGCCATGAAGCTTGCTGGGTGACCTTAGGCCAGTCCCTGCCAATCATTTTTAAAGTACCTCGCAGGCTTGTTGTGAGGATTATAAAAGGGAAGTAAACAAACGACCTACACTGCCTTGAGCTTCCTGGAGGAAAAGCGCGATACGAATGCAATAGCAAAATGTGCAAACTGCGGGGAAATTTGTGTCCCGTGCCTCAGTTCTTTTAAGCACCTGGCAGCGCCCCTGGTCCTCCTTTTGGGGTCTCTGTGTAAAAAATGCCCCTGGTGGCTGTTCTCTGCTATAAAACATAGGGACCACCTGCTATTTCTTTTGCTCATTCTTAGGTCCATGTGGGGGGTCAGAAGGTGAAGCTGCTGCGGTTACGGAATCCATGGGGCAGGGTCGAGTGGAACGGCAGCTGGAGCGACACGTGAGTTTGCCTGGAGGCTCTTGGGGGGCAGGACGAGAGACAGAGGGCACAATACCAGGAGAGGCATTCTGAGCAAGCAATCACATTATACTGCCTTGCAAAATTTGGGGGCTGCCTGGGATGATGGATATATGTGGGTCTCTTGATAGCTAGCTGTGTGATCTCTTGAGTTTCATGTCCACAGCCTCCATTTCCAGGGCAAGTCCCGCAATCATTTCACGTCCCAGAGTGTTTTCATGTTAAAAAAACTTAAGCAGGTCCACAATGGGAGTCAGGAACTTCGTGTGACTGGCCCTCTTCCAGAAAAGATTTGGCAATTGTCCTCGCCTTTTCACTTTGAGGTGTCCCTTCAAGACCTTTTCATTCTCCCCCCCCCCTCAAATCTTGGTAACGACAGCTTACCCCTAACGAAGCTGCAGTTCCCAGAATCCCCAGCACTTCCCAGGAATCATTGAGGGGGAAGCCACATGCTTTGGATGTGTGTTAAATGTGCTTTTAAATTGCACAGCGTTGACGGTGGCCACCTTTGCTAACCAGGGACGTATCTACACTCATGGTTTATAACGTTAAAAAAGGGTTAAAGAATGGTTTTCAAAACGTGTTGCTCTTAACATTCTTAAATTGTTATTAAAATACGACACCAGAGGGCGCTGCAGATAAACCAGCAGAGTTTGGACCGGTGGGGGGGGGGTAGGGGGCGGAACGATAAGGTAAGAAAAACATTTTAATTTGGAAGTATGACCTGTGACGTTTTAGAACAATATATATAATATCGTTTCTGTAACGTTAAACAGCTCAGTGTAGATCCAACCCAACTTTTGCCTATGAAGCTCTCCACTGACGTACATTTGTGAATGCCCATGTTTTTCTGCCCTAGCTCACCGCTTTGGAGTTACGTGGACCCTGGACTCCGGGAGCAGCTGCGTGTGAAACAAGAAGATGGGGAATTTTGGTAAGAAACAGAGCCCCAGATCTTAACTCTTCTTTTGCGGTGTGGAGTTCTTCAAGGGAGTGTTTAAAAGGGTGGGACCACCGTAGTCAGAGAACAGTCAGTGTTAACCCTTGCCCCAGTATTTTGTTGTTGTTTAGTCGTTTAGTCGTGTCCGCCTCTTCGTGACCCCCTGGACCAGAGCACGCCAGGCACTCCTGTCTTCCACTGCCTCCCGCAGTTTAGTCAAACTCATGCTGGTAGCTTCGAGAACACTGTCCCATCATCTCGTCCTCTGTCGTCCCCTTCTCCTTGTGCTCACCATCTTTCCCAACATCAGGGTCTTTTCCAGGGAGTCTTCTCTTCTCGTGAGGTGGCCAAAGTCTTGGAGCCTCAGCTTCAGGATCTGTCCTTCCAGGGAGCACTCAGGGCTGATTTCCTTCAGAATGGAAAGGTTTGATCTTCTTGCAGTCCATGGGACTCTCAAGAGTCTCCTCCAGCACCAGAATTCAAAAGCATCAATTCTTCAGTGATCAGCCTTCTTGATGGTCCAGCTCTCACTTCCATACATCACTACTGGGAAAACCATGGTGTTGCACACTTCCCCCTGTTTTGCTCTCTCTCTCTCTAGGATGCAACTGTCTGACTTCATACATCATTTCGATATCTTGGAGATCTGCCACTTCTGCACTGATGGGCTAGAAGGGGAGAGTTCCCCCTCTGGCTGGTACGGCGGCGACTGCTTCCAAGGGAGCTGGGTCAAAGGTCACACTGCGGGTGGACACCGGACCTTCAACCCCTGGGGTAATCCTTGGAGTTTGGGAGAGGGGAGTAGACAGAAGTGGCACTGGCAGGGCTGAGCTGGGAGCAGATTAATTGGGCATGGCGCTGGGTCTGTGGCCTTTCAGAGGTTGATGGATTGCAACTCCCATCATCCGTCCATGACTTGGCTTTGCTGGCTAGGACTGATGAGTGTGGGAGTTGGACAACATGTAGAGGGTCACAGATTTCCCTCGCCCCGGGCAGATGCAACGAAGGCAGGTTGGGGGAGACCTATGGCTTTCAGGACATTGCAGAAAATGCAAGCAGATAATGAGGCAGGGAGTAATAATAATAATAATAATAATAATAATAATAATAATAATTTATTATTTATACCCCGCCCATCTGGCTGAGTTTCCCCAGCCACTCTGGGCAGCTCCCAATCAGTGTTAAAAACAGTACAGCGTTACATATTAAAAACTTCCCTGAACAGGGCTGCCTTAAGATGTCTTCTGAATGTCAGGTAATTATTTATCTCTTTGACATCTGACGGGAGGGCGTTCCACAGGGCGGGCGCCACTACCGACCTGTTCCCTGTAACTTGGCTTCTCGCAGTGAGGGAACCGCCAGAAGGCCCTCGGCACTGGATCTCAGTGTCCGGGCTGAACGATGGGGGTGGAGGACGCTCCTTCAGGTGGGAACACGGCATGCTTGTGTGGACGTGGTGGTGTGTTACTCGTGTTAAGATTAAAAGTGAGTACAGTCACACCTCGGGTTACAGCCGCTTCAGGTTGTGTTTTTTTGGGTCGCGGACCGCTGAAACCCGGAAGTACCAGAACGGGTTACTTCCTGGTTTCGGCAGTTGTGCATGCGCAGAAGCGCTAAATCACACTTTGTGCATGCACAGAAGCGCCGAATCGCAACCCACGTGTGCGCAGATGCGGGTTGCGAACGTGCATCCCGCACGGATCACGTTCGCAACCCGAGCGTCCACTGTAGCTGATTCAATAAATGCATGTTATATTCTGATAAGTGGGAATGTCTTGTGGTTCCTAGCCCAAAATTGCAGTAATATGGAGAGCCAAGATCTCAAGAGGCGTGGATGAGCTCTGAATGCTTCTTAAAACATTTTTGAATTACTACTACTATTATTAGTAGTGGTAGTAGTACCCTGCCCAGCCACTCTGGGCAGCTTCCAATAACTATAAAAGCGTCATAAAACATCAAGCAAAATCTTCCCTACGCAGGGCTGCCTTCAGATGTCTTCTAAAGTGGTATAGTTATTTATCTCCTTGACATCCGATGGGAGGGCATTCCACAGGGTGAAGCAATAGCACCACCTGCCGGCAGTTAAAAGCGCACACCTGGTGCACTTCAATGCTGTTCATGGAGCCGCAAAGCACTTTCAGCAGGTGATGTCCTGGTGAGGTGTGGAAGAAACTAAGTAGCTGCTGGAGGGCCCTCCTCAAAGTAGCGTAGTAAAGTTTGAGGAGAGGCAATTTCACTGCAAGGAGTTTCCCAGACAATTTCTCCCACAGCCCTAAGGCCCCAAACATGCCCCAAAATCTGAGTTATCTGAGTGGCTTTAGACCCGTTTTCCTTGCTGTGCAGACACCTTTTGGATGAACCCCCAGTTCCACTTTCACTGCTGGAGCCGGACGAAGAAGCAAAGGAAAAAACAGGATCAACTCCCTCACCCCTCCTGCTCCCCTCCTTGTCTCCTTGACGCAGAAGGACCGGCGCAGGAGCAATAAGGGCTTCCTTGCATAGGCATATGACATCTTTCAGGGTGAGCGCATGAGGCTGACTGGATCAAATAGAATCATAGAATCATAGAGTTGGAAGAGACCACAAGGGCCATCGAGTCCAACCCCCCTGCCAAGCAGGAAACACCATCAGAGCATTCCTGACATATGGTTGTCAAGCCTCTGCATTAAAGACCTCCAAAGAGAGACTCCCCACATCCTTGGCAGCAAATTCCACTGTCGAACAGCTCTTACTGTCAGGAAGGTCTTCCTAAATATTGTGTCTGGTGACATGATTTGCCAGAAGACCCACCTGGGGATGAAGTAAAACCAATTGGTAGCTTAGACAGGGGCTGCCCATCACATTCTGCCACCTGAAGTGAAATGGGAAGGTGCTGCCTGCCCACCCCTAAGCGCCGCTGAAGCCTCACTTCAGCTTCTGCTGATATCGTGCAGAGGCCTGATGTGATTTTCCTGAGATCCCAGGAAGTGAGGTGCTCAGCTACTGCAGCTGCTTCTCCTTGCTTCTGCGGTGACGTCCCTTGGATTTCACTGCCTGAGACGCCTGCCTCATGAATGGGCCGGCCCTGAGCTCAGTGGTCATCTGCTTCTAGAGCATCTGTTTGCATATAGAAAGTCCCACGTTTAGTCCCTGACATCCAGGCAGGGCTGAGAATGTCCCTGTGTGAAACTCTGGAGAGCTGCTGCCAGCCAGTGTTGACAATACTGGGTTAGCTGGACTCATGGTCTGACTTGGTACAAGGCAGCTTCCTATGTCCTTCCTCTCCACGTTATCTGCTAATAAGCCCCCTCTTCCACTCCACCGCCCCCCCAGCTGTGGTCTGTCCACTATGTTAGTAATATCATAGCTTATCAATTGCCTTTTCTGACGCTCTATGGATTGACTCTCTCAGGGCAACTTGTGATTAAACACATTGACAGTTACAATCCAAAAATGAAATGGCGGGGAGGTAGGGGTCTGTGTGTGGATTTTAGAGAGGGATCAGCAGAAACTGATACTAAGTAAAAAAAACACCAATCAATGTTGCAATGCTATAATCCTATACACATCAGGAGTGTCTACCTTTTTTTTGGTCAAGACCCCTGTTCATCCCATGCCACCTGTCCAGGGGCCAGTGGTGGGTGTGGCTACCCCACACTCCAGCTGGATCTATACAGATTTAAAAAACGCTATAGAAAAATATGCTATGAAAAGCTCTTAATGGAAAATCCCTTTGGCGACAGATCACTGCTCTACAGCACCACCTGGTGCCAAGTGTTTATAATGCAGTTATAACGATGTAATTGACGAGTGTAGCTGAGTCCTCTCTCACACACACATACAGGGCAAACATCACACACAACCCGTCACTCTTCAAATGGCCAATGTGATGACCCCAGAAGTAGCAGTTTGCATCCCTACCTGGGCACTGGGCTTGTAGGGCATACAGGGTGTTTAAACCTCTCCAGCCATCCCAATTCCATGTCAGTCTGTTGTTGTCACCACCATTGCCAAAATCAGTGGGAACTTGGAGGCGGGGCTGTTGGGGGGAGAGAAAAATGGTTGCAGCTTCATGGCCCTCCTATAAATTTTCTTCCTCTCTTTCTTTTCTTGCAGATGTCCGAAGAGGTAATAATCCAAGTGGTTTGTACTGTCTTGAAAGGGTCTCTCTCTCTCTCTCTCTCTCTCTCTCTCTCTCTGCATAATTGCTTCACCCAGAAGTTAAGGAACGGGCTAAGATAGGAAAGCTACAACCCATTTGGAAATGATTTTTGAAAGGGAGGTTGGCGCAGTGCAAGTGCGCCAGCAGGAGTGCTGGGTTGACTCCATCAGCGTGTTTGCACTGTGCTGACCTCTCTACTGCCTGGGTAAGCAACAGTGACCCACTTGCTGGGAAGGGAGCAGTGTGGTTCTGACCCAGCCGCAGTGCTTTTTTCTGGGGGGGGGGGATGCAGGGGTACGCATACCCATAAACATTTTGTGAATCTAAGTTTGGCCTCATTGAGGAGCAGTATTTCAATATGAGTAGGAAAATGAGAGTACCCCTAAACATTGTTTTTAGGGGGAAAAGCAGTGGCCAGTCTTATAAGCCACTTCTGTTCATGTACTTCCTCAGTGTTATGTGGAACAAAAATCTGCCAAGCTGCTACAGCAGGCCTGGTGAGGGGCATTCATGAGGGACTGAATAATAATAATAATAATAATAATAATAATAATATAATAATAGTAATAATAATAATAATTTTATTTATTGAATTTATATACCGCCCTACACCCGGACATCTCAGGGCCGTTCACAGAATAAAATCAAGTTATAAAACCACAAAATACATAATAAAATAAAAATGACAACCCAATAACCCCACCCCCAAAAAACCCACATTTTAAAAGGGCATAGGATGTAAATCAAATCAACCAAAGGCCTGGTTTGAAAAGGAATGTTTTTGCCTGACGCCTAAAGGTGTATAATGAAGGCGCCAGGTGAACTTCCCTGGGGAGAGAATCCCACAGACGGGGAGCCACTGCAGAGAAGGCCCCGTTCTCGTGTTGCCATCCTCTGGACCTCTCAAGGAGGAGGCACACGAAGGAGGGCCTCAGAAGATGATCTCTGAGTCCAAGTAGGTTCATTTGAATGGGAGGCTCCAGAGACTTTCCCCCCACAACAGCCTGTTCAGAACAGTGACAGTGTACTCTAGAAATGGCCTGGGAAACTGCTGCTCCTCCCAGGGAGAAAAGCCTTGTTGACTTTCTTCCTCCAGTATCTACAGCTGAAGAGCACAGCCCAAAGAAAACAGGTGCTCCCCAAACTCAAACAAGTTTGGCCGACTGCCTACGGGTATTTAAGAGACATCACCGAATATATCCGGTTGCCCCCCGGAGATTACCTGATCGTCACCAGCCTTCAAAACCCTCTGGCTGAGGCTGAATTCACCATCCGTGTCTTCACGGAGAAGAAACATCACTTCCGGTGAGTTCTGATGCCCCAGAGGGTCTAAGCCTCAAGACTTGTATCTCCTGCCTGCTCCCCCTGTTTTTTTAAGAACTTTATTTTTATGTTTAAAAGTCAGCCTCAGTCAGTACCGTATTTTTCGCTCCATAAGGTGCACCTGACCATAAGGCGCACCTAGTTTTTAGAGGGGGAAATCAAGAAAAAAAATATCCAGGTCTCCCCCCCCCCCCAGCCCCAAAGAGCAAAGAGGCCAAGACAGCGAGCGGGATCCATCCCACTCGCTGTCTTGGCTTCCTCTTTAGCCGCGCGCAACCTCTCCAGCCGGGAGAGGCTGTGTGTGGCTAAAGAAGCCATAGCTGTGCGCAGCCTCTCCTGGCCGGAGGGGCTGCGCGCGGCTATGGCAATACCCCCACCTCCCGCAAAAGCCCACAGGAGCCGCGCACCCTTTAAGGAGTGTGTGGCTCCTGCGGGCTTTTCTACGAGGAGGGAGAAGGGACTGACTGGCCGCGTCAGTCCCTTCTCCCTCCTGGGGAAAAGTCCGCAAGAGCCGCGCGGAGCTTGTGTGCGGCTCTTGGGGGCTTTTCCTGCCTGCCTCCCCCCTGCATTCACTCCATAAGACGCACACACATTTCCCCTTACTTTTGTGATGGCCTGGGAATCCGATTCAGAGGGTGAACCGGAGGAATCCCAGCCTGCACAGGAGTCCCCGCCTTCAGGGCCAGCTGAACTGGGGCAGGGCCTTGATTCTGAGGTGCCTGCACCTGTGCCGGATCCTCAGGAGCAGGCACCAGGTGAATCCACTCTGGCTCCAGAGGTGGTTGAGGACTCAGTGCCTACAGGTGAGTCTCCCCCTGGGCCCAGTAACCCTTCAGCCTCTCCTGAACTGCAGTGGCTCAGGACAGAGAGGCGAAGGGAACTGGTTTCTCCCAGGAGGAGTGCTCGCCTTAAGGCCAGGAGAGGCGGGTCTCCTGGGGGCCGGGACCGCCCCTGGCCTCAGAGAAGATAAAGGCTAGTCAGCCCGGTCCCAGGTTGCGGGAGCAATGTCGTTGTTGAGTACCTGTTCCTGCCCGGACCCAGACCTGACCCTCCAGTGTTCCTGTGCCCGCCCGGCTTCCTGCTTCGGACCTCGCCCCGCTCCTTGTGAACTGTTTCCAGGCTAGTGACCCAGGACCGGACTTTGACTACGCCAACGGTAACCTTCCCCCTGGGACCAGCACAACTTTTTAGGAGGGAAAAAGTGTGTCTTATGGAGCGAAAAATACGGTAACTATGGGTGGTATTCAGTTCTAGAGTAGACCCATCAGCATTCCTAGACATGACTCACTTTGGGTTCATCCACATTTCTGCTTTGCCCCAATCTATTATTGTAGATTTTTTTGGGGGGGGACGACGACCCCTAAACCCTACTAATTAATAAATGGTAGGATTTTGATTATTTGGGATGTGAATGGAGAAATACAAGAAGTGGAGGATTGGGGGTGATACCTGTACCTGCACGTTTAGGCACTCCTAGATGATGTTATGTTGCCTTCTAGGGAAATTGGCGAAGAAGTCAGCGCAGATGATAAAGCACTACAGGTAACAGCTTATTCTCTATGGCAGTGCTTTAGGAAGATCGGGTGAATTTGTTTGTTGGCCTGGGTTCGGCATCCTCAGAATTTCAGCTTTCTTAAAACATGAGGCCAGATTCTAGCTCTCAAACCACAGACACAGCTGCAGTGCCTGATAGAATATTGCAAACCAGCAGGCAGTTGAGCAGGTGCAAAATGGTTAGGGGCACGAAATTCCAGCGCCTGGTGCTGCCTCAGTATGGCTGTGTGTTTCAGTTGCTGGGCTCCGTTAAAAGCAGCTTTTCCATACAAACCAGGAAGTGACCTCTCCAGACAACAGAACGACTCTTTTTTTCTTATCTCTGTGACTGCGATCTTCTTCGTGAAGAAGAAGAAGAAGAGTTTGGATTTGATATCCCGCTTTATCACTACCCTAGGGAGTCTCAAAACGGCTCACAATCTCCTTTCCCTTCCTCCCCCACAACAAACACTCTGTGAGGTGAGTGGGGCTGAGAGACTTCAGAGAAGTGTGACTAGCCCAAGGTTACCCAGCAGCTGCATGTGGAGGAGTGGGGAAGCGAACCTGGTTCACCAGATTACGAGTCTACCACTCTTAATCACTACCAAATGCTGTTAGGCCAGGCATGTCCAAAATGTGGCCTGCCAGTCAATGTGGCCCACCAGTCAGTGTAATCTGACCCCCGGACCCCTGGATTAAATTAAACTTCAATCCTAAAAAAAGATCAACAACTTTGAGCCCAACAACCTTGGTCGGCCCTCATGCATGTTCACTTCCTCAAATCTGGCCTTCTTTGAAAAAAAGTTTGGGCTCCCCTTCATTAGGCAGTTGAATGTGCATGCGTACTCTGTCCATTTCCCTCCATCTCACTCCCTCCACACAGCCCCGGGGGCTGGCAACCCATGCTATGCCACTGCCCATTTGTACCCTGAGTCAATCAGTTCGGTTCTCCTTCCCCCAGACTTTTAAAAAACTGTGAATGTGTTGTTCTGAGAGCCAGTCACTCAGTACTGTGCACAGCCAACTTATCCCCTGGCTTGATTTGCTTTTAATGTGTGGATATTTGTCCTGAAATCTGTGATTGTGGACCCAACAGCAAGCTTGCCCCTCAAAGAATGTACATCTCTCTCTTCTTGCTTTCCAGATAATGATATCGCCCAGGATTGAACTCAACCAGATACTTGAGAAAACTTTCCTGGAGTGGGCAGGCCAGGTAAGGGAGTGTAAGAACATTGGTCAGCACAGCCCTTACCTGCTTGTCTTGTTTTGCAATTGGTTGATTGTCTGGCTTATTTAAATAAATTTAAATATTAAATTTTTAAAAATAAATTTAAATATTGCAAACTACTCACCATCAGTGAAGGGTCCCTTTTTAGAATCACTGAGAAAGCAGAGAGACTACAAGGGATGTCAGAGAATGCAGAAATGGAAGCAGAAATTGCTGATTCACACATATTTACCCCGTGTTTAGAAGGGAAATCGATCCAGTGAATAAATCAGTATTCGCTGTTGTAGATTTCAGTCTGCAAATGATACCTAATTGAGCACACGCATGGTCTGTTTGCATTGTGTTGTGAATGAGCAGAATAGCGTAATGACGACATAATTCATGTAATTAATTACCGTATTTTTCGCTCTATAGGATGCACTGGACCATAGGACGCACGTTGTTTTAGCGGGGGAGAACAAGGGGGGGGGAATCTCTCCCTCTCTGCTCAGCGCCGCTTCAGCGAAGCGGCAGGAGAAACGGAGCCCCTTCCATTTCTCCTTCTGCTTCGCTGAAGGGGTGCTGCGCAGCTCTCCCTCTCTGCTGAAGCCAGGAGTCTTGCTCTCCTGGCTCCAGCGAAAGGAACCTGAAGCCTTAGGAGTGCAGCGGGAACTCGCGCTGCGCTCCGAAGGCTTCAGGCGGCTATCCCTGAAGCCTGGAGAGCGAGAGGGGTTGGTGCGCACCGATCCCTCTCGCTCTCCAGGCTTCAGCGAAAGCAACGCGAAGCCTCCGGAGCATGGAGGGAGCGCTCCCTCTGCGCTTTGGAGGCTTCGTGTTGCTATCGCTGAAGCCAAGGAGCCTGCATTCACTCCACACGACGCACACACATTTCCCCTTAATTTTTGGAGGGGGGGAAATGTGTCCTATAGAGCGAAAAATACAGTAAGTTTGCCACAGCAGAAAGCAGGATGAACAGTGTAGTTTTGGGCAGAGAATGAACTGCAGTGGGAAGGAAACAGTGCTGAATGCAACAAATACATGGCAGTGGCAGAAGGAAACATGGCAGACAACAGCGGGACCCTGGCTGATGTCCTGAGTAGGAGAGAAAGAGCCAGGGGCCCTGGGAATAGAAGTGGAGGAGGAATTGAGGGTGCTTGGCAGGCCCACAGTGGCCCCCACAGCCCACCTCAAATAAGGGTTTAGACTGGGGTAGGGGTAGAGGATAAATTCAATTTAGTTTGCATTTCATGAAAAACAATATATTTCTCAATTCTCACACACCAGTATGCAAACTAAAACACAGCTACACTTTGAAACTCTCACAAATTTTGCACAACACTGTTCTCCAACCAAACAGTAATTATTAAAATGTATATATTGGACAAAGTGCACATTTAATGGATAGATCAGTGAAAAGAACGTACAAAATTGCATTATATTAGGGGAAATGGTTTGCAAAAATGTGCATGTTAGTCAAAAACTGCCTACAGCAATGTGTTGATTAGGATAAATTTACACTGAAATGCTGACAAATTTTCATGAGGATTTAAAGTACGTTTCCGAGCACAATTCAAAGTGTTGATGCTGACCTTTAAAGCCCTAAACAGCCTCAGTCCAGTATACCTGAAGGAGCATCTCCACCTCCATCGTTCAGCCCGGACACTGAGGTCCAGTGCCGAAAGGCCTTTTGGCAGTTCCCTCATGGCGAGAAGTGAGGTTACAGGAAGCCAGTCAGAGGGCCTTCTCGGTAGTGGCACCAGCCCTGTGGAACATCCTCCTACCAGATGTCAAAGAGAAAAATAACTACCAAACTTTTAGAAGACATCTGAAGGCAGCCCTCTTTAGGGAAGCGTTTAATGTTTAATAGGTTATTGTATTTTAGTGTTCTGTTGGAAGCCACCCAGAGTGGCTGGGGAAACCCAGCCAGATGGGTGGGGTATAAATAAATTATTATTATTATTATTATTATTATTATTATTATTATTATTATTATTATTATTGGAAACCCCTCAAATTGCCATAGAAATGGGGTGGGGTGGGGTTTGATTTAAGATTAGAAAAGTGAGAAGCTTAGAGAACCAAAATTGGCAGATTCCATCATTCCTGATCACTGGCCATGTTAGCTGAAGTTGACGGGAGCTGGAGTTCTCCAATATCTGGAGGGCCAGAGGTTTGCGGCCCCTGCTTTTCACAGAGCATTAGCCCTGAGCCTGACTGGCATGGAGAAGAAGGTGGGGCCCATTACATTATGTGACTTTTCTTGGATTTTTATTTGGCTGATTCAGGACCTGCAAATGGGCGCTGCTGAACTCCGGGGCCTTCTGAATCAGATCATGAAGACCACTTGTGAGTATCCAACACGGTTGCCTCCCCCATCGGCTACATTCTTCCACCTCTTCACTTTCTTCTAGTTCGTTCCCATCTTCTCTTTCCTAGAATTCTGGAAAGAACATGGAACTTATTTCCCTCCCTCCCACCTACGCTTCCGGATGGCTCCAGGTGCTGGCAACCCGTGCTACACCACTGTTCCAGACTGTCCACTTTTCTGTGAATGGGATTCAGTTGAATGCAAGCAAATTTGGGTTTTGCAACTGAAGTGGATTTGACACTGTTGTGCAACTTCCAACACACACACACACACACACACACACACACACACACACACACTTTTAGCAGTAAGGAAAGTGTTGGGACAGTGACACTGGAAAAGGTGGTAACATTTCTTGGCCTGCTCAGCCATTTTCTTGGTTCTGCTTTAGCAAATATGCCCCTCTCCTCTCCAGGAATTACTTTAACCCCCTCCCTTTCCAAATACAGTGGTGCCCCGCAAGACGAATGCCTTGCAAGACGAAAAACTCGCTAGATGAAAGGGTTTTTCGGTTTTGCGTTGCTTCGCTAGACGAATTTCCCTAGGGGCTTGCTTCGCAAGACGAAAACGTCTTGCGCTTTTTTCTTAAAGCCGCTTGAAGAGGCACAGCTGCGATGGACCGTGCTTTGCAAGAGCGCGAGGGCCCGGGCAGTCGCGCCCAGGCGAGGCTCCGACCCGCCACGCCATGCCGATGCCACGAGCGAGCGAGCGGGCCAAGGCCAGCGACGCGAGACGCCGCCGGGCGCGACAGGGGTGCTGGCTGGGGTAGGCGCGGCGCCCGGACAGTGAAACCCCCCCAAAAAATAACCCAAAAAACACAACCCCCCAAAAAAAGGTGCAGCTGCGACGGACCGTGCTTCGCAAGACGAAAAACATCGCAAGACGAAAAGACTCGCGGAACGAATTAATTTCATCTTGCGAGGCACCACTGTAGTGTTGCCTTAATTGAGTGGCAGTCATGGGCAAGAGTACAAAGAGGAGGGGAGGAGCATTTAACCCTTTCTTAGCAGTGCAAATCGTCCCCACTCCCAGAATCCCACTGGGGAAAGGAGGACCGTCCACTTGGCTGCAGGGGTTCCAAAGTCAGGGAGCAGAGTTGCTATTCCACTACCGCCTTAAAGCAGATTGGTAATAATTGGGTGCTGCTAAATTGACCCCAGGGGGACGCGGGTGGGGCTGTGGGTTAAACCACAGAGCCTGGGACTTGCCGATCAGAAGGTCGGCGGTTCGAATCCCTGCGACGGGGTGAGCTCCCGTTGCTCGGTCCCAGCTCCTGCCAACCTAGCAGTTTGAAAGCACATCAAAGTGCAAGTAGATAAATAGGTACCACTCTGGTGGGAAGGTAAACGGCGTTTCCATGCGCTCCTCTGGTTCGCCAGAAGCGGCTTAGTCATGCTGGCCACATGACCCGGAAGCTGTACGCCGGCTCCCTCGGCCAGTAAAGCGAGATGAGCGCCGCAACCCCAGAGTCGGCCATGACTGGACCTAATGGTCAGGGGTCCCTTTACCTTTACTAAATTGTCCCCATCTGGGAGCACCTAATGTCGCGAATCCATTCCTCTGCCCTTGTTCCTGCATCAACCAGCTCCGAGGGCCTTCTGGCAGTTCCCTCACTGCGAGAAGTGAAGCTAGCTACAGGGAACAAGGCAGGGGGCCTTCTCGGTGGTGGTGCCCACCCTGTGGAACGCCCTCCCACCAGATGTCAAGGAGATAAACAACCAACAGACTTTTAGAAGACATCTGAAGGCAGCCCTCTTGTTAATGTTTGATATTTTATCATGTTTTTAATATTCTGTTGGGAGCCACCCACAGTGGCTGGGGAAACCCAGCCAGATGGGCTGGGTATAAATCATCATCATCATCATCATCTGCAGTAATTATGTGTCCATCCTCTCACCACTTTCTTTTCCAGGGTATCCGCTGAAAACTGATGGCTTTTCCATGGAGCAGTGTGAAAAAATCACCCAGCATTTCAGTGTATCCTTCTCTAGGGAAGTAGATGGGGCCAGGTATCAAGAGGGAAGGGAGTCCGGATCCAACCCCTAGCACAAAAAAATAGTTGACCATTGAATGAAAGAGAACCCCAAATTCCCATTCTCTCTTCCGTGTAGGGATGGAACGAGCACCCCAAATGGGGAGGATATGTCTGTCTCCGATGGGTCAGGCTACATTCCAGCCGTGCAAAAGCCGGAGGTCTCTATGCTCTGCCTAAACATGCACTAGCTGCATCCAAAGGAACATGGTTTCTCATGCATAGTGCAGGGAGAATCTCAAGGGCTAGAGGTCCCCCACCCCTGCAATATCCCATTTGCTTTTCCTTAACTCTGTAACAGGGCAGCAAGACAGGCAAGCTGACACTGAGCGAGGTTAAGCAGTTCTGGACTAAGATAATGGAATGGGAGGTGAGGGTAGGGACCAGATCAGCTGGACAAAAGCCCACCTCTGAAGAGGTTCCCCTATCCTTGGCCACCTCTGTCAGGGTGGATGGGTTCTGGTGTCAATACAGGCAGAAGATGTTGATCTGTTGAGCGGACAATCAGGAATCGGTCTTCTTGTATTTTTATCAGCCCTGGTCAATCTAAACTGCCCCTGGGAAGAGGGATCGACTGTCAAACCACTCTGGGAATTGCAGCTCTGTGAGGGGAAGAAGGGGGATCTCCTAACCGTTCCTGGCATTCCCCGTTCCTGGGATACTTTGGGAGGAGCTACGGCTGTTTATGGGATGCGGGTGGCATTGTGGATTAAACCACAGAGCCTAGGGCTTGTCGATCAGAAGGTCGGCGGTTCAAATCCCCACGACGGGGTGAGCTCCCGTTGCTCGGTCCCTGCTCCTGCCAACCTAGCAGTTCGAAAGCACGTCAAAGTGCAAGTAGATAAATAGGTACCGCTCCAGTGGGAAGGTAAATAGCGTTTCCATGTGCTGCTCTGGTTCGCCAGAAGTGGCTTAGTCATGCTGGCCACATGACCTGGAAGCTGTATGCCGGCTCCCTCAGCCAATAAAGCGAGATGAGTGCCGCAATCCCAGAGTCGGCCATGACTGGACCTAACGGTCAGAGGTCCCTTTACCTTTAGGGCTGTTTATAGTGATGTGGTACTGCTTTCAATGTATAGCACAGAGGGGGCCTGACTCTCTTGAGCTCAGTATTTAATAGCAAGATGCTATCCAGCGCCGAGAGGGAACCAGGCAGAGGGCCTTCTTGGTAGTGGCGCCCGCCCTGTGGAACGCCCTCCCAGCAGATGTCAAAGAGATAAACAACTACCTGACATTTAGAAAACATCTGAAGGCAGCCCTGTTTAGGGAAGTTTTTAATGTGTGACATTTTAATGTATTTTTAATCTTTGTTGGAAGCCGCCCAGAGTGGCTGGGAAAACCCAGCCAGATGGGCAGGGCACAAATAATGAATTATTATTGTTATTGTTACCTCTCCCGATTCCACTCCACAGAGTATATTCATCGGTTATGACATGGACAGGTCTGGCACCATGAACACGCATGAAATGCAGCTGGCATTGGACACGGCAGGTGAGAAGGAGTAGGAAACAATGCACGGAGATATTGTTCTTTGTTATGAAGCTGGATTTGTGAAAATCATAGAATCATAGAATCATAGAATCATAGAGTTGGAAGAGACCACAAGGGCCATCGAGTCCAACCCCCTGCCAAGCAGGAAACACCATCAGAGCACTCCTGACATATGGTTGTCAAGCCTCTGCTTAAAGACCTCCAAAGAAGGAGACTCCACCACACTCCTTGGCAGCAAATTCCACTGTCGAACAGCTCTTACTGTCAGGAAGTTCTTCCTAATGTTTAGGTGGAATCTTCTTTCTTGGAGTTTGGATCCATTGCTCCGTGTCCGCTTCTCTGGAGCAGCAGAAAACAACCTTTCTCCCTCCTCTATGTGACATCCCTTTATATATTTGAACATGGCTATCATATCACCCCTTAACCTCCTCTTCTCCAGGCTAAACATGCCCAGCTCCCTTAGCCGTTCCTCATAAGGCATCGTTTCCAGGCCTTTGATCATTTTGGTTGCCCTCCTCTGGACACGTTCCAGTTTGTCAGTGTCCTTCTTGAATTGTGGTGCCCAGAACTGGACACAGTACTCCAGGTGAGGTCTGACCAGAGCAGAATACAGTGGCACTATTACTTCCCTTGATCTAGATGCTATACTCCTATTGATGCAGCCTAGAATTGCATTGGCTTTTTTAGCTGCCGCGTCACACTGTTGGCTCATGTCAAGTTTGTGGTCAACCAAGACTCCTAGATCCTTTTCACATGTAATCCTCTTTGTGGAATTCACAGGGATCCTTTAAAAGTCATTTGGTGTTAGAAAAGGATCTCCACTTCAAGGCAATTCCAAATCTCTCCCCCTCACCCCCCCAAATGCAGAGGTAGTTGTGAGTACTAAGAAACCGGCTTGTTGGATCCACGCACCCACACTTCTAAATCCCTAACTAGAATGGAACTTCGTGGTTCAAAAGTGCGAAATTCAGATGGGCTGCAAGGAATGGACAGAGTGACATTCTGTTTCTGATCCTCCTGTGAAGTATAATCTGGATGGGAGTAACTTTACAAAAAGGGTGGTGCTGTGGGTTAAACCACAGAGCCTAGGACTTGCTGATCAGAAGGTCGGCGGTTTGAATCCCTGCAACGGGGTGAGCTCCCATTGCTCGGTCCCAGCTCCTGCCCACCTAGCAATTCGAAAGAACGAAGTGCAAGTAGATAAATAGGTACCACTCTGGTGGGAAGGTAAACGGTGTTTCCGTGCGCTGCTCTGGTTCGCCAGAAGCGGCTTTGTCATGCTGGCCACATGACCTGGAAGCTGTACGCCGGCTCCCTCAGCCAATAAAGCGAGATGAGCGCCGGCAGCCCCAGAGTCGGTCACGACTGGACCTAGTGGTCAGGGGTCCCTTTACCTTTAAGCTTACAAAACGAGGGTTACAGGCAGTTTGAGATTCCGTGCCTTTACAGAATGGTGGCATTTGCTTGCAAATTCAGTTTCCAGAGAATCTTTGCTGTCATTCACAAACAAACAATGGGTTTCTAGTCCCCATGGCTGCAGAGATGAGTTGCTTGTGGGCAATTCCTGCAGGATTTCAAGAGGCATGAGGCATGGGGTAGCTGAGTAAGATTTTGAGGGGGTAGCCCAGAGGTGGGCTCTCCAGATGTTGCTGGACTGCAACTCCCATCATCCCTGCTAGATGGAGCTGATGGGAGTTGTTATTGGAGGCCAACAATATCTGGAGACTTCCTATTGGAAGTGTAATAAATGACACAAAGCCAAATGCTAATTTGCTTACTTTCCATATTGTTCTCCTCATTTGTGGAATTTTACTCAGGGTTCCACTTAAACACAAAGACAAGAGAGGCCCTCGCGGCAAGATATGGCAACTCCTGGCTTCAGATGGACTTTGACAACTTTGTGTCTCTCATGGTGCACCTGGAAAGTGTTTTCCGTAAGAGACAACTCCCTCATTTTATTATTGTTATTGTTCAGTCATGCTTGCATCATTCCCTTCCTCCAAGAAGCTAAGGGGGATAAGTGCTTTGCTGAAACTGAAATTAATGCAGAGAAGTTTCTGGTTCAGCAACTATTCAAAATGTGTTTTTGATGTATAATTGTCTATTCAGGTTGGGACACATTCATCTGAGTAAAAAGGCAGTTTAAAAATGTAACAACAATAACTTCAAACATATGATAAAGTGAGCTGTAGTCCGTAAAAGCTTATGCCATACTGAAAGTGCTAGTCTTTAAGGGGACACGATACTTTTTAATGTGTTTTTTTTATTATAATAGACTAGCGTGGATAACCCTCTGGAAAATATTTACTATGAATTTTGTGATACACTGCTGATATTTAAATACAAACTTTTAAGCAGTGTTGATTAATGCAGAAATGGCAAACAACGCACTTGTGTATGAACACACCTGAAATTGAGACGGCTTGGAAATTGAGAAATAGGTACATCCACACATCTCTAATCTTGGCATGACTATGTTTTGGTTTATTTTCACCAGGGCAATGCAAAAGCTGGGATGCTGATGACAAGGGACAGATTTGCATGACAGAGCAAAAGGTGAGGAAAAGGCAGTTGTCTCTAGACTGTCTCACATTCACCCTGCAGACATCACCCCCACATCTCTCCCAGCATAGATTACTAAACTCCACTACACCTTTGGGGTGGGGGATGGGAGGGCGGTTGTATGCATGCCTTTTTCCGCACTGGGAAGGTGGTGAATTTGAGATCATCACCATCAATTCCTCCAGTAGCAAAATCAAGTGTCGATAGAAATGCAGCCACAACAGGGCGAGGGAGGCACCAGCATGTTCAGAAGGGAGAAGGCGCCGTTAACAACAACAACAATTCATTAATTATACCCCACCCATTTGGCTCGGTTTCCCCACCCACTCTGGGCGGCTTCCAACAAAATATTAAAACACAGTAGTCCGTCAAACATTAAAAGCTTCCCTAAACAGGGCTGCCTTCAGATGTCTTCTAAAAGACTAGAAGTTGTTGTTCTCTTTGACATCTGGTGGGAGGGAGTTCCACAGGGCGGGCACCACTACCGAGAAGGCCCTCTGCCTGGTTCCCTGTAACTTGGCCTCTCACAGTGAGGGAACTGCCAGAAGGCCCTCGGCACTGGACCTCAGTGTCCGGGCAGAACGATGCGGGTGGAGACGCTCCTTCAGATATACTGGACCAAGGTCGTTTAGGGCTTTAAAGGTCAGCCCCAACACTTTGAATTGTGCTCAGAAACGTACTGGAAATCAATGTAGGTCTTTCAAGACTGGTGTTATGTGGTGTCGCCGGCCACTCCCAGTCACCAGTCTAGCTGCTGCATTCTGGATAAGTTGTAGTTTCCGGCTCACCTTCAAAGGTAGCCCCACGTAGAGCGCATTGCAGTAGTCCAAGCGAGAGATAACTAGAGCATGCACCACTCTGGCCAGACAGTCCGCGGGCAGGTAGGGTCTCATCCTGCGTACCAGATGTAGCTGGTAAACAGCTGCCCTGGACACAGAATTGACCTGCACCTCCATGGACAGCTGTGAGTCCAAAATGACTCCCAGGCTGCACACCTGGTCCTTCAGGGGAACAGTTACCCCATTCAGGACCAGGGAATCCTCCACACCAGCCCGCCCCCTGTCCCCCAAAAACAGTACTTCTGTCTTGTCAGGATTCAACCTCAATCTGTTAGCCACCATCCATCCTCCAACCGCCTCCAGACACTCACACAGAACCTTCACCGCCTTCACTGGTTCTGATTTGAAAGAGAGGTAGAGCTGGGTATCATCCGCATATTGATGAACACCCAGCCCAAAGCCCCTGATGATCTCTCCCAGCAGATGCATGTAGATGTTGAAAAGCATGGGGGAGAGGACAGAACCCTGAAGCACCCCACAAGTGAGGGCCCATCTGAACACTTATCCCCCCACACCTTCTGAACACGGCCCAGGAGGAAGGAGCGGAACCACTGTATAACAGTGCCCCCAGCTCCTAGCCCCTCTAGAGTTAGTTGCAGAAGAAGAAAGCAAAGTCTAATTGAGATAATGTGGTGTAGGGGTTCAAGGGCTGAAAACTGAGGGTAGAAAATGATGGTAAACTGCTCAAGCCACTAACAGGTTGCAGTATTTTGAAGTGGAGGATTATGGTTAGGGGAAGCATCTCCTGTCACTAAACCCTCCAGTCCAGTATATTAGGAGTTTTTAAGGCAGGATTTGGCTCACAAGTGGCTCTCCAGATGTTGTTAAACTCAAACTCCCATCATAGCCACTGGTCAGGGGTGATGAGATTTTGTCAGGGACTGTGCTGAGGAGGAATGGTGGGATTCTGAATCTTCCCAGGAGCAGGAGGACAGTATAGATTTGGAACGGTGGTTTGCAGAGGGACGTAGTTCAGAAGGCAGAAGCTGGGAAGATCTGGGTGGTGAACAGCTAGGACAGGGGGCAGCAACCCGCGGCTCCGGATCCGCATGTGGCTCTTTTACACCTTTGCCGCGGCTCCGGGGTGGATACTAGCGAGGGGAGAAGAAGAAGAAGAGTTTGGATTTGATATCCCGCCTTTCACTCCCTTTAAGGAGTCTCAAAGCGGCTAACATTCTCCTTTCCCTTCCTCCCCCACAACAAACACTCTGTGAGGTGAGTGGGGCTGAGAGACTTCAAAGAAGTATGACTGGCCCAAGGTCACCCAGCAGCTGCATGTGGAGGAGCAGAGACGCGAACCCGGTTACCCAGATTACGTGACTACCGCTCTTAACCACTACACCACACTGGCTCTCAAGGAGGCGCATTGTGTACCCCGACACTCCCCACTGTTTTAAATGTCGCAATGGTTTTGCGGCTCCCAGTTGTTTTTTTCTTCGGTCCAAGTGGCTCTTTTTGTCTTAAAGGTTGCAGACCCCTGAGCTAGGAGAAGAAGAACTGGGGGGGGGGGGAGAGTTAAAAGACTCAATATCACTGGAAAGCATCCATCCGATCAGCCCAAGGTCAAGGAGAGCAGATAAGGTGGCAGCACAGAAAGCACAGTGATTGCGAGATCAGGTTGCAAGACACGGAAGTGATGTGGGTGACTAGAGGGGACGTGGGTGGAACCCTTAACTGGGAGCACCTCCATTCCTAGGAATGGATTCTTTGTTCTCTTGCTGTGATCGTTAAAAACCATAAATGGTAAGAGTCTCCTTTCGCTTTGTTCTGTTTATATATACTGCCAAAGGAGGGGAAGGGAGCCGAGTCCATGGAGACTGACGGATTTGTAGTCCAAAAGCATCTGTGGGGCTACAGGTTCCCTATCGCTGCCATACAGTATCATGGCCAATGACAGCTCAAAATGAGTACAGGCTGTGTAGGAATAAATGTTTCCCCCTCTCTTATCTATGAAGATAATCTCTCCCAAGCAGGTCAAGTAACAAGAAGAGCCCAGAGCAACGTGGGGCGAGAGAGTAGTGTTCACATGAGCTTTTCATGCAGCTCACGATGCTACCGAGTTTTTAAGTTAGCCCTGTGGCTTGTCCAAGCCCTCTGTCCTCCTTATAACACCTGCAACTGTCTACTATATTGTAGCCCAAACCAAGTGGGGAATTGAAGCTCACCTGATTTCATTTCTGCCTTTCAGTGGATGGATCTTGTCATGTCCACCTGATTCAGCCATCTCCCACTCTCCATCCGTGGATGATCGCAATTCAGTATGTCCAGAGGCATCCAAAGACACTTCGACATTCACTGAACGTTTCGCAATCAGAATAAATCAAGCACTGCAGTGAAATACTTAGCCATTTTAATTCTATAATGGATGTCATTAAAATGAAACTTTCGGTCTCCACTTTGTTTATAGCTGAAAAGAATACCATTTTAATTTGCATATAAGTATCAAATGAGCAGGAGGCGGTTAATCCCAGGGTTTTGGGTTTGAGCCCCATGTTGTTTTAAAGATTCCTGTTTTGCAGGGGGTTGGAGTAAATGACCTTTGTGGTCCCTTCCAACTCTACAATCCTATGAAATGTACATTCTTATAACAACACAATAAGGTACAAAATTATTTTATATTACCATATTTTGGTTTTGATTTGTGATGAAGTTCAGAGATTTATCTGTTTTATTGTAACATGTTTACTGATGCTCATTGCTGGAATAATTTTATATAAGCTGCTTTTTCTGATCTGCCTGGAAAGCTGTATATAACTTTAGGTTTAAAATTTAAAGTAGTTTAAAGTTTAAAGTTTAAAAAGTTTAAGTTTAACTTTCAGTTAAGTGGAAATTAGGAACATTTTTCTGCTCACTAATATATATATATCCACGTCAGTCAAAGGAAGTCCAAAAATATGCAGGAAACTCCACAGAGTTAGCAACATTTGCTTGGCAAGGGTTAGAGCAGGCTTCCTCAAACTCTGCCCTCCAGATGTTTTTGGACTACAACTCCCATGATCCCTAGCTAGCAGGACCAGTGGTCAGGGATGATAGGAATTGTAGTCTCAAAACATCTGGAGGGCAGAGTTTGATGAAGCCTGGGTTAGAGTAACGTCAAGTTGTCTCAGCAGATACAATTCAGCTACTGTCAGGTTGAAACACTGACTCCAAAAGTCAACACCTAACTTCTAAAGCTTTAACGAGGTAAATGGTTTTTTAATTGACAAACTATAAATTCAAAATATACCAGGCAATTACAGGTCTACACAGTAAAATCTACTTAATAAACGTTGCGTCAGCCAAATGTAACTTACTGGTATCCCCTCCATATTTTTTTTTAAGCCTTTGAGAGATTTATTGAGTATAGTATTGTGACTAATACAGCTGACTCACAAACTTTTCTTTCAAAATCTTCTTGCCTATGAATACTCATCATCCCTGGCAATGGGCAACTGGAGGCGAGTATTGGGTGCGATGCAAGTCTCACTCTCAATTAAAGAAAGACAGCAGTAAGACCCAACAGCCCTGGTCACAATACCCAGTGGTAACTGAGCACGTACCCTAACGTCCCTTGATTCCACACCATCTTCTGCAGCCACACACAGAGTTCCTTGGTAGACAAGATAGTGTTTCTTCATAGATAGTTAAATCATGGCGTTCAAGGCTAGAAGAGGCACTGGTGGGCCCCCCCACTTGAATGGTCTTAAAAGGGCTAGATGAATTCAGGGTGTGTGTGGGTAAGACTATCTACAGCTATTAGCCAAGGATTGATGGAGACACTAGGCCTCTGAATCCTGTTTCTGGGAATCACAAGCAAGAAGAGAACTATGCCATTCAGGTCTTGCTTGTGGGCATCCCTTATAAGCACGTGGTTGGCCACTGTGAGAATAGGATACTGTACAACATGTGCTTTGGGACTGATCCAGCAGGCTTTTACGTTCTTAGCTTGCTGTAGAAAAGTTGTGTGAAGGCAGAAAGTTTGCCTCCACTGCAGAACCAGGAATGAAGTCATGTGAAAGATATGTTGTTGTTGTTTAGTCGTTTAGTCATGTCTGACTCTTCGTGACCCCATGGACCAGAGCACGCCAGGCACTCCTGTCCTCCACCACCTCCCGCAGCTTGGTCAAACTCATGCTGGTAGCTTCGAGAACACTGTCCAACCATCTCGTCCTCTGTCGTCCCCTTCTCCTTGTGCCCTCCATCTTTCCCAACATCAGGGTCATTTCCAGGGAGTCTTCTCTTCTCATGAGATGGCCAAAGTATTGGAGCCTCACCTTCAGGATCTGTCCTTCCTGTGACCACTCAGGGCTGATTTCCTTAAGAATGGATGCGTTTGATCTTCTTGCAGTCCATGGGACTCTCAAGAGTCTCCTCCAGCACCATAATTCAAAAGCATCAATTCTTTGGCGATCAGCCTTCTCTATGGTCCAGCTCTCACTTCCATACATCACTACTGGGAAAACATAGCTTTTACTATACGGACCTTTGTGAAAGATATAGGTTGGGTTAAAGGGAGCCACCATGTTGTGCTGGTTGGCATGTATCCCTATTGATCTGCCTTACTTCTTTCTAGCCTGGGTGGCTCACCAACACAGAGAAGGCCTCATCCTGCAGGCACCCAGAATAGAAACTGATGTCCATGTATTAAAACAATTCCCAAGCTGCTTTCGGGCTGGTGGATGAGGAAGGAAGCAGCCTCAGATCACCCTAGTGGCAGCTGAACTCTTGCCCTGGATATGGGTGGCTCAAATCAGCAGCAGCCGGGGAGGCTGTTTGGTGGCAGCAGAAGCTGTGCAACTGCAAACTTAACTAAGAGCACCCCATGCAGGCTGTCGGCTGCCTTGATGGGTCCAGTCATGTAGCCTACGTCCTCACGGCCGCAGGTGCAGATGAGTTTGTGAGCAATTCCTGCTGGATTTCAATAAGGAGTAGAGGATTTTGAGTAATCGTGCCCCAACACTTTGCACTCTTAACTGCTGTTTCCCCTGAGCTTAGTAGTGTCAGGGAAGGCAGGAGTCTGAGGGGTGGGCAGAGGGGACGAGGCAGCAGGAGAATCCCTGTGTCATCTTACTTTTGTATAACCTACAAAGCTGTTTAGGAATGAGTCAAGACGATGGATTCATCCAGCCCTCCAATGATGGATTCATACAGGCCACAGCTCTCTAGGTTTCAGGCAGAGATGTCTCCCATTGAGACCCATTAAATGAATAAGGTGGTCATTGAACTCAAGTGCCCCCCTCTCACACAGAAAAGCACTTCTGGGGGCGGGGAAGGATGGTACTTTTAATACCAGGCTCTCGCTTAAATCACTATGGTCCTCATTATCGAGAATTTCAAACGGAACCAAGAAGTCTGAGATCCTTTTATGTTCCTTTAATCCATTCCTCTCATCTTGGCTCCTGTAGTTTTCCCGCTGCTGTAATAATGACCACATATCAGAACTTTCCTTTCTAGCAGGAGAAGATGGTTTTTCCATGAAGTACTGCAAGAAAATCATCCAGCTCATTCTGCAGAGCAATAAATTATGGGCTCAGTTGCAATGCGGGAGAGGGAATATATGAAATCCCTTCCCTTTTCCTCTCCCAGGTTAATTGGGAGTTTCAGAAGTTGATATTCATTGGGGCAAGGAGCCCAACAGCAGGTGAACCCAGAGCCAACGACAGGCCAAGCTAGATAATTCTAGGTTTCTCCCAATGCTCCTCCATAAGGGGAACATTGAGCCTGAGGAGGAGGGAAGGTGGCAGGTAGTGCCATCCTTGGACTGGTTGTAAGAAACATGGCACGCAGGTGTGGGCTGGCTGGTGACTGGAGGAGGATGGTGAGGAATTCCTCACACCCTACACTAGACCATCTTCCAATGTCTGTATCAATCGTGCAGCAACCTCATCCCCTACTACAAGAGAAGTGATGATTTGGGAAGTGCTTCTACCAAAGGATCTTTCCATGTGTATCAGCGACTAGAGGTCTGAGGGCCACATGCAGTCTATCTGCTGGCCCTTCAGTTGCCAATCCAGAGGCAAGAGGGTGGAGGGGCAGAGGGCAGCAGTACTGGGACTGGTTGGCCACCATGTTGCCAGACTGGGTGTGGCTGGCCCTCCATCCCCATCACATTGGCCCTCCTGGCAAACTAGCTGCTAACCAGGACACTGAAGGCATAACTCTATCCTGCCCCTGCTTGTAGCAGAACCCCAAGTCTACTTCTGAAACTCCCAGTTCACCTGGGAGAGGAAAAGGGGAGGGATTTCATTCATAGCTATAAATGGAAGAGGAAGGAAGTCGCAACCCTTTTGGTTTCAGTGGTTTACAACCAACATGCCGTTTGTTTTTCCTCAACCAGCTGCAGACAGGAAGGAAGAGGCAGGCTGACACTGTATGAATTTATGCAGTTTTGGGCTACATTAAAGGAAAGTATCCTTTAATCCATCACCTCCTGGCAAATAGAAGGGGAAGAAATGGAGGCAGTGAGAGATTTTGCTTTCTTGGGCTCCATGATCACTGCAGATGGTGACAGCAGCCACGAAATTTAAAGACGCCTGCTTCTTGGGAGAAAAGCAATGACAGGCCTAGACAGCATCTTGAGAAGTAGAGACATCACCTTGCCAACAAAGGTCCGTATAGTTAAAGCCATGGTTTTCCCAGTAGTGATGTATGGAAGTGAGAGCTGGACCATAAAGAAGGCTGATCGCCGAAGAATTGATGCTTTTGAATTATGGTGCTGGAGAAGACTCTTGAGAGTCCCATGGACTGCAAGAAGATCAAACCTCTCCATTCTTAAGGAAATCAGCCCTGAGTGCTCACTGGAAGGACAGATCCTGAAGCTGAGGCTCCAAGACTTTGGCCACCTCACGAGAAGAGAAGACTCCCTGGAAAAGACCCTGATGTTGGGAAAGATGGTGAGCACAAGGAGAAGGGGACGACAGAGGACGAGATGATGGGACAGTGTTCTCGAAGCTACCAACATGAGTTTGACTAAACTGCGGGAGGCAGTGGAAGACAGAAGTGCCTTGCGTGCTCTGGTCCAGGGGGTCACGAAGAGTCGGTCACGACTAAACAACAACAACAACAACAAAAAGGAATGGGAGGCGAGTGAAGCCCAAAAATCAGTGGGACAAAAAGCCAGGCGTAAAAGTGCCACCCTGCCACAGGGCCACCAGTGTTAGGACCAGGTATTGTTCAGGGGCGGATAAAACCACGTGTTGTGGTTGTTGTGGTTTTAACCAAGGGTCCCTAAGCTCGCCAATAGGAAGGTACTGCTCTCTCGACTGGCCAAAGTCAGATTCCTTCTATTTATACTGGGTCCTGCTGACCTTCAGTCTTTGGGTTGCCCACCAGTCACAAGGACCAACGTCATACCTGTCCTCATGTGGGATTGGAAGTGTGAGCCCACGGGCGACACTGGACCCCGTGTCCAACTAGGATTGTCTCATCTGATGTTGCCAGAGTTGGTAGGTTACCAGAGAGCCAGTGTGGTGTAGTGGTTAAGAGTGGTAGTCTCGTAATCTGGGGAACCGGGTTCGCATCCCCGCTCCTCCACATACAGCTGCTGGGTGACCTTGGGCTAGTCACACTTCTCTGAAGTCTCTCAGCCCCACTCACCTCACAGAGTGTTTGTTGTGGGGGAGGAAGGGAAAGGAGAGTGTTAGCTGCTTTGAGACTCCTTCGGGTAGTGACAAAGCGGGATATCAAATCCAAACTCTTCTTCTTCTACCTTTGGATCAGAGGAGCTATTCTCCTGGGGCCACTGCAGGGAGGCAGAACCAGCAGCAGGCTGGCTGGGGAATGGACTTTTTAAGACTGCTTTCCCCAGTGCCTTCCCAACAGGGTCCGACACCAAGAATTCCTAGAGCTAGGAACCACTGATATCACACCTGCCCCTCGAGGCCTACAAGACCCTAAGACGTTCTCAGATAAAAGTGAAGTGGAAACTTTAGAGTGGAGCCGTTTCAGCTATTGCTCTATTTTATTACATTGCAAAATGATTTGAGAACAAATAGATAGGGTTGTTATCTCATTAGATGATGCCTCAGCCCATAGAGTTTTTTCTCCTTTAGTAGTCTGGTACAAGCAGTAGGTTGGCGGTTCGAATCCCCGCGATGGGGTGAGCTCCCGTTGCTGGGTCCCAGCTCCTGCCAACCTAGCAGTTTGAACACCAGTGCAAGTAGCTAAATAGGTACCGCTCCGGTGGGAAGGTAAACAGCGTTTCCGTGCGCTGCTCTGGTCTGCCAGAAGCAGCTTAGTCATGCTGGCCACATGACCTGGAAGCTGTATGCCGGCTCCCTTGGCCAATAAAGCGAGATGAGCACCACAAC